CAAAAGGTTTTAGGTGGCACCACCTCCAGCTTTGTCCCTGAAAAGACAGTGAGGTGGATGCTGCAGGCTTGAGTGGGCAAGAGGCCTCTCCTCTTGGCCCAGTGTTCACAAAGGGCCTGGCTCCTCATGCAAGATGTGCCAGGGGAAAGCCTGCCAGGTCGTTATTCCCCGGATCAGCTGCATGACATCAGGACAGGAGCCCAGTGACTTAGCCACACTGTTCACCTGGCCAAACGCAGTGTAACCTGGTCCTGTGGATGCTGGGTCATTTGAAATTTCCTCCATCTTGTCTTTGCAACCCCCAGCATTTGTAGAATGAATTCTGTTACACCCCAAACACATCTTCTCGGCCAGTCCTGCTCCTCGCCTGCATGTCTCGGTCATCCTGGGGTGGCCTGCAGGAAGGACGCTCTGCTGCCACAGCGCAGGCCCGGCAGAGCAGCAGACTCTGCAGGGAGTGTAAGTGGGGTGGGAGGCAGAGAACAAGGGGGCCTTGTGAGGGGAAGCGTAGGCCCAGGGGCTCGATTCTGCCACTGCTGGGCAGCACAGCTCCGCAGCCCTGCTCCGACTGGAGCACCCCGCCATCTGAAAGCAGGGCTTGTGTGAGCAGGCAGGGCTGAGCAGAAGGCTCACATTTACTCCAGAGCCATGTAAATAGAAACTGTGCAAAATGAGAGAGGCCTGTAGGTCCCAGCTTCGATGCATCTCCTTCCCAGCCTGTCTCCAGATCTTAATTTCAGCTCTGGTTTTCCCCACAGAAAGGTGAGTCTGTGTGAGTGAGGCTTCACGGTTAATTTCCTCACTGAGCGGGCTTTGGGGTACAGCTCAGTTGGGGCTCAGTTTGGCTGATGGGAGCCAGTTTCCTGGGCCTGGATATTCTTTTTTTTTTTCTCCCAAAGCCCCCAAGTACAGAGTTGTGTATTTTCAGTTGTGGGTCCTTCTAGTTGTCGCATGTGGGACGCCGCCTCAGCGTGGCCTGATGAGCGGTGCCATGTCCACGCCCGGGATCCAAACTGATGAAACCCTGGGCCACCGAGGTGAAGCGCGCAAACTTAACCACTGGGCACGGGGCCAGCCCCCTGGGCCTGGATATTCTTGACTGCAGCTCTTCTTGACCCCATGGAGTAAACGCTCCCAGAGGCAGATGCTGCCTGGGTTAAAGCAGTGGGGCCAAAACCACCCGTGCCAGCACCAAATGGATTCACCCACCTTGGGCTGCAGGCTACACAGACAGAGAGCAGCCTTCGAGGAAAAAGAACTCCGGTCCTTTTCTTGTTTAGGGACGTGGGGCGGGTGGGGGCAGGCACAGAACTGAGAAAGAGAACGGAACTGGATGACGTCGTGGCTCCGGGGACAGCATTCTCCTGCATGTGTGTCTCTGCCTTTTCTTCTTGTAAGGACACTGGCCATCGATTTAGGACCCACCCTAATCCAGTGTGACATCATCTGAACTTCACTAATTTACATTTGCAAAGACCCTATTTCCAAATAAGGTCGCAGTCACGGGTACCTAAGGTCGAGAATTCAACATGTCTTTTTAGGGGACACAGTTCAACCCACTGCAGGCACCAGGGCCCCAGCTTTTGCCTGAATCCTCTAAGAGAACACAAACTTAGGTCGTTCCAGGGGATTACAATTATTTTTAAAGGGAGGGAAAACAAGCTCCTTTCCAGCGTCAGTAGCTGAATTTACAAAGGATCTATCCACACAAAACAGATGTTACAAAAATAATCACACTTCAGCCAGAAAAAGGTTTGCTCTTCACTTTCAGGTGAGGCCAGCTCCAGGCAGACTTTCTTTTACAGAAAGATGGAGGTCCCTGCCCCACGCCAGCACTAACGGCATGCCCGCTGTCCCCACATTGGCTCGCAGAGCATCCCCAGCCCCCTACCCACGAGGAGGCCTCGCTGGGCGTGGGGCCTGCAGGGACATGGCTGGAGAGCTGCCTCCTCTCGGGGCTGGTGGCACCGAGGCCGCTGCTCCACCGCAGCTTCAAGCCGCAGAGGGGGCGTGACAGCGCAGTCACACTGGATCCCCTGCCCTGTTACATTTTCGGGTAAACGGATTGCTGGAGCATGGGAGGAACACGACTCTGGCATTGCAGCCTGAGTTAAATGCTTCCCTGTTCGCCCTCACGTCCAACCCCCGTCTCCATCAGGGCTCTGCATCAGGCATCTTCCTGCCGGGGCAACTTCCCCAAAGACACACATTTTAATGAAGCCAGACCTTGAGGGTGAGCTGCCTGACGCACGTAGGACATTCAATTCATGCGGGAGAGAGAGATGGGTGAGAACAGAGCAGGGTGGAAGAGAGACTAACGCGAGGTCGTCAGTTCACGACTGCAGCCACTACTTGTTACGTGCCTGCTGCACACCAGCACTCTACCCCATCCTCAATTTAATCCCAGCAACCACCCTTTGGAGGATGTGCAAAGTAAGCGTCAGAGAAATTAGACATTTACCCAATGTCAGGCCTCGAGAAACTGGAGCAACCTGGACTCAAACACAGTTCCCTCGGAGCCCAGCATGCCTGCTGCCTCCTCCACCACGACGCTGAGTCTCTTACAACTCTCTCGAGTTTGAGTGGAGACAAACCCAGGCACGAGCTCAGCACAGCTTGTGGCCTCCTAATCCTTTTAGATTTGAATGTTCTAAACCTGCGTGGTCCCACACAGCAGCCTCGGGAAACGTGTGGCATCGAGCACTTGAAATGTGGCTGGTCTGAGCTGGGCTGTGCTTTGGGTGTACAATTCTCACTGGTTTCAAAGACTTAGTATGAGAAAAATAACGTAAAATATCTCATTGACGAGATTTACATCGATTACATGTTGAAAAGATTTATTTTGGGGGCTGGCCCCCACGGCTGAGTGGTTAAGTTTGTGCGCTCTGCTTCAGGTGGGCCCAGGGTTCACCAGTTCACATCCTGGGCCTGGACCAAGACATGGCTCATCAAGCCATGCTGAGGCAGCGTCCCACGTGGCAGAACTACAAGGACATACAACTGGGATATACAGCTGTGTACTGGGGCTTTGGGGAGGGAAAAAAAAGAAGAACATTGGCAACAGATGTTAACTCAGGGCCAATCTTCCTCACTGAAAAAAGCATACCTAAAAAAAAAAGATTTATTTTGGATGTAATGGGTTAAATAAAAAATGACGTTAACTTCACTGGTTTCTCTTTACTTTTTTAATACAGCTACTAGAAATGTTAAAATGCTATATGTGGCTCCCATTTGAGGCTGGCATTGCATTTCTATCGGACAGCGCTGTCTACGTCACCATCGTCTGTAGTCAGAGCTCCACCGGCCGCTGTAACGAGCGGGCATTCAGAGCTTGCTTCTCGCCCACCTAGCAGTGCTGGGCGTAAACAGCTCAGCAGGCACCCTCCTCCACTCTGGCTGATCCAAACCCTGCCATTCTCAGCACATGGCTTCCGGAAGCACCAGGAGCTCGTCTCTGTGCCAGCCAGCCAGAAACGGGGAGACAGCTTGGACGAGCGAGTGTGGAAGGCTTTCACTGGCTAGGCTTAGAAATGGCACACACACACGGGGGCTGGCCCTGTGGCCGACTGGTTAAGTTCACACGTTCTGCTTCAGCGGCCCAGGGTTTCAGTGGTTCAAATCCTGGGCACGGACACAGCACCACTCATCAGGCCACGCTGAGGTGGCATCTCACATGCCACAACTGGAAGGACCCACAACTAAAAATACACAACTATGTACCGGGGGCCTTTGGGGAGAAAGAGGAAAAATAAAATCTTAAAAAAAAAAAAGGCACACACACTTTTCATGTACTGTGACTGCAGTAACAAAATACCACAAGCTGGGCAGCCTAAACCACCGAAATTCACCAAAATTCACCGTCTCACAGTCTTGGAGGCTGGAGCCTGAGATCAAGGTGTAGTCAATGTTGGTTCCTTCTGGGAGCTGTGAGGGAGAATCTGTTCCAGCCCTTCTTCCAGCCTCTGGGGGTTTGCTGGCAATCTTTGGCATTCCTTGGCTTGTAGAAGCATTGCTCCAGTCTCTGCCTTTTTGTTCACGTGGCGTTCTCCTTGAGTGTGTGACTGTCCCAAACCTCGTCTTTTTCTAAGGACACAGCCATAGTGGATTAGGGCCCACCCTACTCCAGTATGAACTCCTAACTAATCACATCTGCAGGGACCCCATTTCCACATAAGGTCCCATTCTGAGGTCCTGGGGGGTAGGACTCAGCATATGAATTTTAGGGGGCCACAATCCAAAGCACGACAGATGCCACTGACTGGATCTCGTCACGTGGCCACACTCCGCACAAAGGAGGCTGGGAACTGCGATGGTATTGGTGACCTCATTATCTCCCGGGTCAGCTGTACGCACCGCAGCAGCCAATGGGTGAAGAACATTTGATCAACTGTGTCATCAACAGAGCCACATGGGTCCTGGTCTATAGACCAAGGCTCAGAGAGCTTGTCTGGCTGCTGAGGCACAATGGCGGAGTGCAGCCCTGCATCTTCTGACACCAAGGTCCAAACTCCTTCCAGGCACTTATCTTTTCTTTTTTAAAGCTAATGTTTAATTATGAGCTAATACACGAAGGTACTGTTCTTTGAAAAATTAAACCATACATATACAGTTAAAATCAACCCAGGAAGTGTAGCACCAAGAAGTAATCACTTTTATCAGTTTGATGTGTATCCTTCCAGAACTTTTTTTAAACTCGAACATACATCATAGAATCATTGAGTGGGTGCGTGCACGCAAATGCTACCTTAAGGTGGGTTCCCTCTGCAACTTGCTTTTTTCAATGAAAGATCTGCTAGTCCGTGTACTCCACCTCATTCCTCTGACTGCCACACAACCTTCCGCAGTTTGCGTGTTCTGTGGTTAAGACACGCAAGGCTTGACCTCTAAAGATGATTGAAGTGAAACTTAGAACGTACACCCACTTGCCGAACGGGCAAAGTCCATGTGTAGGGAGCTAAGTAACCCGTGACACATACACGGAATGACATACCAGGTGGCCATTAAAAGTCACGTATTGTCTATTTATTATCACAATAAGTAATTCACAGCAATGACCACTTGAAAATGTGGATTACAGAGCACCACGTATGAAATGAGCCACTCACATCAGACTGTGAACACACACCCCCATGCGGACACGTCCGAGTGCCGGAGGGAGGGGGTTTGGAACTAACACCAAAGTGGACTGGCGGCGGGGGGTGGTTTCCTGCAGTTTTTACGTTAAGCATTTACGATTTTTACAAAATCACCAAAGCTATTACTTTTTTAATTTAGAAAACACAAACAACAAAATTATTTTTAACAGACACTTTAAGTCGTTTGGCACACCTTGGTTTTCTTCGCATCAACAGCACAGACGCCGCCATCGAGGTTGGAACCCATCTCTGAGATGCCCACAGTGCCCCCCGCTTCCTCTGAAATCCAGGAAGGGGCAAGGGCTCAAGGACTGCTCTCCTAGACGAGGTTGAAGTCCCTGCTCCTTCCTCTCTCACGGGGTCTGTCATTCTAGAAGGTTCTCTCCTAAACCACTCTTGCAGAAAGGGTTCATGCCCAGGAAGAGAAGGCAGGTAATTTCGCAGTCATCGCAAACGAGGCCAGTGAGTCCCACCTGCGGCTCTCCAGGCGCGGCTGCCTTCTTCCTCCCCCACGTCACCTGCTCAGGCTTTCTCAACCCCTCAGGCCAGCGCGTTTAGGAGGCGGCACCTGGCATCGCAGTGACAGGAACCTTCTGCGAGACTCTCCAAACATCACATGCCCATGGGTGGCCCAGTTAGGCCTTCAACAGGGCGACCTTGTGTTCCGGGACAGAATCCTCGCTGATGTTGTACGGCTGGGACCCTGGTTCTTGCTTCAAGTGTTTCTCTGCAGAAAACACAAGGTTTTCAAACACTAAGAAAGTGGAAGTGAGGACAGGTCAGCTCAGAGAGCGGGATTAAAGGCTGGCATTTCAGGGTCCTAGAGCACAGGGAGCTGAGGGTCCCCTGGGCCGGCGCCCTCAACCCTGTGCTGTGTTTCACCTAAGTCTCCTTCAGCGCCTCCTCACTTTCCGTGCCATGAGAACCCTTTCGTATTGCTGGGTGGGTCTCCTCGTACGGCTGGGCCACAAGTGGTTCCTGCATCTCCTGCAGATAGCCATCTGAGCTGCTTCCAGCAACAACATGCATGAATCTTACAGATTCATGTTGAGTCGAAGAAGCCAGATGCAAAGAGTCCTTACGACTCCATTTATTTGATGTTCTAGAACAGGCTACACTGACCTACGGTGGAAGAAATCAGAACGTGGTTACCCTTAGAGGGGTAACTGGGAGACAGCATGAGGGAACTTTCTGGAAGGATGGAAATGTTCTACATCTTGATACACCCAGCTGTATCCACCTGTCGGAACTCAAACTGCCCATTTAAGATCTGTTCATTTCACGGTCTGTAAACTGTGCCTCAATTAAAGACACACGCACCCCTAAGAAATAAAACCCCAGAGCAGGAGGGGCCCCTGCCAACGTGCCCACTGCCTCCCCCGCCATCCTTGCACTCCCCACTCTCGGACTCCGATCCTCCCGTTTCCCAGAGTTCCCGTCCTGCAGCCCTGATGCCACAGAGTCTGGGCGCGCGGGCCTGTCTCGGCTCCCCCAGTGCCTCTGCCTGCACCCACCTGCTTCCTCCAGGGTGGAGAAATACTGGACGCCCTTCAGGTCAGCGGACAGCAGGACACGGAGAACGGGGACCTGACGGATACACAAACGTTAGTTCCAGGCAAGGATGATCCTGCTGCGGCACATGAGGGCAGGCGACCTGTGGCAGGCCCTGGGTCCACCGCCCTCTGGCCACGTCGCAGGCTCTCTCAGATCTCCGGGTAGGTACCACTTCCCCTCCACTCAGGGAAACGGACAGAAGAAACGCTGCCTCTGGGAAACGCTGGAAGAGGAACATTTTAAAACTTACACTCTCCGAAAGACACAAAGACAAGTGCTCTGCAAATATGACACAGGATATAACGCATAGTGCACAGATCTGGAGCCAGATGCCCCCAATGAGAAGCCCGGGCCGCCACCCTTGCTGTGTGACCTTGGACAGGTTACTCGGTTTCTCTGGGCCTTGGTATCCTTGTCCCAACATGGGGATGATGATGATACCAACCTCACTGGTTGGTCGAGAATGAATAAAACCCTGGTAAGTACCAGCTGTGACCTACGCCCATGGCGCTGGGCTCCACGTGGTGCCTTGTTTCCCAATGAGCTCACAGATGTCTCTCCCGAGAGGCTGTGGGACGTGCTTCAGTCCCTGTGTGCCACGTGTAGGATGTGGAAGGCAGGTGGCATTTAAGCACAACACAGACCACATCCCTGTGTTGCTGCTAGTCAGCCCCGCTCGCAGGCGCGGGGAGCTGGGGTCCCGCCGTCAACCCCGGCCCAGGCTGCGCCTGCCGGGAGGAACCCCTGCGACTGTGCTCTCAGGGTATCTGAACACCGCGAGGGGAAGCACGAATGCTGTCTGGAACAGCCCCAGGCGCTCTGACAGCTCAGGACAAGGATTCTAATAAATCTCTCCGGGACTTCCTCTGTCACCCTGATCAGTACAGTCTCTGGCAGAACCCTGTTCTCTCCTGAAGCCCCCACGACATTTTTTTGTGTGCATTTCTGTACTTATGTGTCTGTTTTTGCTTCTTAAAATACAAGCTCCCTGAGAACAGGAACCAGCTCTGGCTCACTGTGCACCCCCAGTCCCAAGAGGTGCATGGAAGGGACACCTGCCAGCACTGACCTCAGGGAAGTGAGGTCACACATGCATTCCCTCAAGGGCAGCGGCTGCTGCTCCCCATTTCACAGAGAGGGAGGCGGAGGGGCCGAGGGGACAGGAACGGCTAGATGAGAGGCAGGGCCAGAGCCAGCAGAGGGCCCGGGCCCTGCACAGCATGGCGGCACAGCCCAGAGATGTCACCTTCCCACGGGGCCCAGCTTTTCCTCCCTGTGAACCACGGCTCCACTGTGGGTGGGCAGCAGCCCTGGGCTCACCCACCTGCAGGCCGACGAAGGCGAGGGTGACGCCCTGCTTGTGGAAGTCCTCCAGCAGCTCCCCGAGCCCCAGCACCACGGTATAGTCGATGCTGCAGATGTGCGTGCACTCCAGGACCGCGCAGCGAGGGGGCGATGCTGGGGAGACAGGTGTCAGCCGGGTCACACCGGAGGAGGTGGCCAGAGAAGGCTCTGGCCAGAGGCACGGGGGAGAACGAGGCCATCGAGCGCTCCGTCCCCCGGCATAGAGGGGACAGGGTGGGGGGACCCGAGACAACAGCTGTTTGGGGACAGCGCAGCAGCTTCCTTCAGAGGGCAAACAGGCCCCTTTTCTTCCCTGAATACCAACTCCCCGGAAGGAGTGGGTCCTTAGGGACAAGCGTTGGGGACTGTCACCCTTGCTGCATGCAGACTGTGGGTACCCACTGGACGCTGCTCTGAGATGCTCCGAGACCTCCTGGGCCCAAGAGTGGCGAGCTCCTCCCTGACAGCCAAGGGCAGGGCCGTGGGGTCCTGTGGGAGCCAGGCTGGGGTGCGGAGAGGCAGTGCAGGGCTCAGAGTCACTGCAGTACCCCTCGCCCCGGTCCACGTACCTTCCAGGGCCCGGCTCAGTATTGCCTCCCGGAGGGCCTCGACCGCAGGGAAGTGCAGGCCACTGGCCGGCTGCAGGACAAGCACTGGCCCCTCGGACATCTGGGGACGGCATGGGGGAGGCCAGTGAGTCCTGGAGGCAAGTCCAATAGGGCAGCTCTGCCAGGATTCGGGGGACAAGGGGTGCAGAGCTGGCAGGAGCCCTTACCCCACGCCCAGTGGGACAGCCCTGTACTTTATGACACAAGGACGATACCCGTCCACTAGGCAAACGGCCACCTGCAGCGCTGATGGCGACGGTCACACCAACAGCTCAAAGCACAAGACAATGGAGACAGAGGGTCCTGCCACGGCCCACTTCCCCCACCAGGCCCCGAGGCCAGCGGAGCCCCTCTCGGAGGCCACACGGGCTGCTACCTGCATCTTGGGTCTGGCCACGGAGTGCAGGAGAATCAGCACGGACACCAGGGTCCCTGCCAGGATGCCGTACTGGACCTCCCAGAAGCAGAGCAGGAACGTCACGCAGAGGGGCAGCAAGTCCAGCCCTGGGAGAGAGGGGCCCAGCTGAGGGGTGGCCCCTCGTCAGTGAGCCCAGCTCCCAGAGACCTCTGCGTTCCCTCCAACCAGCAGACGAGGTTGGAGAAAAGCAGAGTATTCGGGGCTTTTCGCATCATAGGTAAAGGTGTCATGGATCCCAAGCAGCCCCGGAGGGACCTCCATATGGGGACTCGGTGACTGATGCTGCCGACAGCCATGCCAGCTCAGGGACATGTCAGAGCAGAAAATCCTTCCCTGCCTGGACTGAGGGGCTGTTAAGACTTGCTTGGCTAGGCCCAGGCCCCCTGCCCTCTGGGAGGAGCCCACAGTGGGCACTTCTCAGGGGACTAAGAAGGGACTTGGAGACAAGGCGAGGGCTGCAACATGGGGGTCAGGGCCACCACAAAACCCCTCAGAAACCGTGTGACTTGGCCGAGACGCATGGCTTCTCTGAGTGGCAGAAGGAGGTGCCCTGGGCAAAGTGGGTGGGCTCAGGGGCAGCCCCGGATTCCACCCCCACACACATAGCTCAGACATGGCCCCCTCCGCCCTGGGCCTCTGCCCAGCAGTGGCATCTGCTATGTCCCACACAGCACATTAACTGAGACCCAGCAGCGCAGTTTCATAGATCAGACACAATGCTTTAGGAACGGGCCCAGGCACGTGTTAGGTGCACAATCAAACCACGGTTCCTTTCACCGGATATCTCATGGGGCCAACGAAAAACCAAAGAAAACAAAACTTGTTACATTAAAGGAACTGCAGGTCCAGGGAATCCTTGAGCCACTGTGAGCGGAGGAGAAAGGGAGGCTGTTACACCGGACGCCACTGGTCATCCTGGAATGTCTCCCATCCCTCCCCCAGCTAGGCCGGCAGGGCACAGGGCCACTGAAGGCAGGTGACCAGGAGGGAAGGGCGGAGGGAGGGGAGCGTGGCGTGCAGCAGATGCGCTCAGCGCTGCGTAGAGCTGGTCCAGGGTGCTCTCGGAGGCCTGAGGAGCTGATGGGAGCCCCTTTTCCCGGCAACCCGCCCTCGGCCTGGCAGTGACACCTCCCAGAACTGCATGACCCTCCCAGCTCCCACCCACCACCATGGGCCCCGGAAGATGATCAGGGAATAAGCGATAACCTCCACGTTGACCGAGGAGGAAATACATACTCTTCACGCGCCAGAGAGTCCCGATGATCTTGGTGTCGAACAGGGGGGCCACGGCCATGATGATGACAGCGGCCAGGGCGGACTTGGGGATATAGTAGAAGAGTGAGGTCAGGTAGTCCAGCGACAGCAGCACCAGGACTCCTGCGGGGGCATCGGAGAGCTCACGGTCCGACCTCGCGACCTCCACTCAGCCAGCAAGGAGCCCGGCGGGAGGGGCCGGCCCTGCCCTCGGGGGACCGGCCGCTGCCCCGTGGTTCCCTGCTCTCCTTTCCTCCCATCCTTCTGCCTGGGCAAAAGGGGAACACAGTGCATGGGGGCGCTCACCTGTCACCAGGCCCCCTGCTGGGGTGCACACTCCCGACTGGGCGTTCACGGCCGTCCTGCAAGGCAATACAGAGGCCCATTAGTTGCTGTCGGACCCCGGAGAGCAGGGAGGCGGCGGTGCAGACAGCTGTGGCTGATCTCCCGAGACAGGGCTGCTCTTGAGGGACTACCTGGGCCCCACGACGTCAGCACAGAGTGGGAGAGGCTCAGGAGCACGAGGGAGCTTTGATGTCCCCTCACCAAAGGGAGATTTCTCGGACCTTCTAAATAACCCAAAGCAACCCATCAGCACACGTGAGAGAGGCCTGGCTGCAAATCGGAACAGCCTACAGAGGACCCGTGAAATAAAACTCGCCCCTGTGGGCTGAATTATGGCCCAGCCCAAATCCACATGCCGAAGCCCCCAGGACCTCAGACTGACTGTATCTGGAGAAAGAGCCTTCAAGACGTGGTTAGGTTAAAACAGGGCAGTTACTGTGGGCCCTCGTGCAATCTGACTGGCATCCTTATGAGAAGAGGAAATTGGGACAGACAGACACCAGGCATCCGTGTGCAGAGGAAAAACCACGTGAGGACACAGTGAGGAGGCGGCATCTGCAAGCCAAGGAGAGGCCTCAGGAGAGACCAGCCCTGCCGACACCTGGATCTTGGACTTCCAGCCTCCAGACCGGGAGAACGTAAATTGTTGTTCAAGCTGCCTCGTCTTTGGTATTCTGTTGTGATCGCCCTACAAATGTAGCACGCTCCCCTACAATGGAATTCTCTGCTGCCACTAGAAATGAGGATGCAGATGCTTGTTTTTACTGCTATGGAAAGATGCTGACGATACTGTCAAGTCGGGGGAAGCCCACTTAACATATACACACGTTACATATGTAGATACACGTACACACAGGCACACGTAGATACACTGTACGAACAGGAAAAAACCTGAAAGGAGAAACTCCAAACTTCCAACAGGGAGGGTCTCCCTGGGTGGTGGAATCAGAAGTTAATTTTGCTTCTTTTTCGCTTCCATTTTGCCTCTTTGGAAAACTGCCCTCAGACAGAATGCCCAGAAAAGCCCCCTCTGCCGTAGGGCTGGTCCTCGGGCCCGCGTCTCCCTTCGCCATCACGAAGGCCACGGAGGGACCGCGACTGGATTTCAGCAGCAGGACAGGACGCTGCCTCGTCGCGCCTCCCAGGAAGCCCTCGCCACAACCTCTGCCCACCCATACTTCCTCCGGAAATAACTGTCCGTCTGTACATCTCCACGGAAGGCCATCTCGTAAGTCGCTGCTCACCTCTAAGGAGGGGTGCAGAAGTGTCACTAATTAAACATGCACAGACTTTTTTTCAGCACCCACTACATACAAGCTTCTGTGCAGACCCTGGGGGGGCACAAAAACGCCACCTTAACGGCACAAGCCTGTAATCCAGCTACGCCCACAAGAAGAGAACACGTGAGAAGTTCACCCGAAACACGGTTAGCAGTTTTGTTTCATAAACATTAACGCAGCACGTACCGTGTCACCGGCATTGGTCTACGTGCTTTTCGTTTAATCCTCTAAGTGACTCTCTGAGCTAGGCCCGGCTATGTGCCCATTTTACAGACACTGAGGTGCGGGGAGGTTGGGCAGTGTGCCCTGCATCCCCTGGGATGGGGTGTTTGGGGCCCTGGGAAGGTCCAGCACTCAGACAGAGTCAGGTCAGTGGTTCTGGGGACTCGGCCTGAGGGCCAGGCCTGCTGGCCAAGCCTTCTTTTTCCTTTCACCACAGGTCACTCTCCCGTCCTGTCCTCCTGCCTTCTAGCAACACCACAGTGGGGTCTGTGCTCGCCCCCATGCCCCACTTCCCAGGCAGAGCTGCTGTCCTTCCCGCCCCCACTTCTTTCAGGAATTAACTCTGCACCAATATGCTGGGAGCACTCCAATGCACTGGCAACTTGCTAGTATTAGATTGCAGCACAAAGCAAGCCAGGTGAGATCCTGGAGGAGAGCACAGCGAGCCCCACTCCTGCTTTCCCACGGATGCCAGGGCTGGCGGGGGGCAGACTTGTGCCGGGACAAGACTGAAACGGCGTCAGGACGTGGGCAGGGCCAGCAAGGGCAAGCTGGTTCTTTGAGCTGGACCAGGACCCTCTGAACTGGGCCTGGACCTCCCTGGAGGCACAGAGGAGGATGTGGTCACTCACCGTCCAAAGCTGCCTGTGACCGGGTAGGAAGAGACCAGGGAGCCCAGCATGTTGGTGAGGCCTGGGGAGAAAACAGAAGGAAAAGTTCAGTGGGGAAGAGGGAGAGCATAAAACAGAGGGAAAAAATAGATGAGATGGGAGGTGGCGGGAAGGGGAAAAACCGGAAATGAAACACAAGCATAAGAGAGGGGAGGAATTATGGAAGGGGGTGTCCTACATCTGCTGGGCCCGACAGCTCGTCCACTCACACACTCTCTCTTTCTCTTAGGGAAGGATGAAACAAACCATGATCTTCACCAGGATTGCTGAGGTCCATTCCAGCTTTAAAATAACTCCGACTGCGGCCTTGCCCATGCACGTTAAAATGCCTTTTCCCTCTATAGCAGAAAAGGGAACCCCACCTCTCCAGAGGGGGCGGATGGCCGAGTTAGGCAAGTGCACACAGCCAGACCCAAGTGTGCGGAGGTCAGCTGCCGTCCACCTACTCCACTGAGTTGAGGGGTAGGAGATCACGGCTAGTCAGCTGACTTCCTCATGTGACACGGATTAACCTCTACTGGATGGAACCCTGCCTGGAGCCTGGCTGGGACCTGAGAACCGAGATACTTAAGCCCATGTTTATCACAATAGACCCCACTGGCATCTGTCTCACCCAGGGCCCTCCACAGAGACCACAGTCTGCCCCCGCTGTAAAATGGGGCCACAGGTTGAAGACCTGCTCTTGAGACAGCCTGAGGGGGGCCCCGCTCAGAATCAGGCCCCCCTGGGTCCCATGGCCCAGCTCACGTCGGAGAATGTGGTCAGACATGAGCGGGCGCAGCAAAGGCTATGCACTGACCACACGTAGTCACCATGACTCCTTACGTGGGCTCCACAAAAGCTGGGTCAGAGACCCGAATCCGTGCAAAGCTGCTGATGGGGGGTCCCCTAGTGCTGGCGTTCTGTGGGACCCACGTCAGCCTCTTGCTATGCGTGTGCTGAAAGCTGCCTGGCCTGTCTCATACCACGGAGTCAGCAGCCCTTGCGGTCAATGTGTCCACCTTAGTAGCCTCAGCTTCGTGACCATCACTTGTCACTTCTGTCTGTGTTGTGCTCTGGAACTCACTGCATCATCAGGAGAGGGGTTTTGTGCTATTTGTAGAAACGGGAATGAGATGCCCTGAGAACTCACATCGGCAGCATTTAATGGTGGGTGAATGGAGAAGTCTACAGATTTTCTCCGTCCAGGGGCCAGTGATTCCGGGGTAACCCCGACTCTACCATCTACCGTGAAATCAGAGAGGGGCACCCCCAACATCCCAGGTGTGACCCATCCCGGGGCCTATGCCCTTTGCTGTCAAGAAACCCAGTGGCTCGGCTCCAAAATGCTGCCATGAAGTAGCCTAGGCAGAAGTTCCCGGTGGACTCCTCCGGGAAGGAGCCCAGCGGCGCTGCCCGGTTAGACCTGTGCCCGCCTCACGAGGGTAGGGAGGAAAGGCAGGAAGGCCTGGCATCCACAAAATTAAAATCAGCAACGATAACCAAATTTAAGATGCATGCCATGCTCTCAAAAGGAATCACCAGAGAGGCCAGATTGATGAAGACAAAACAAAAGAAACTAAATGTGACAGCTGGCACAGGCCCCATCCACAGCCAGGCAGCCTGGGGTCGACCTGAGGCTTCCCTCATCCACCTGCCTGGCCTGGGGGGAGGCCACAGGCAGGGGCAGAGGCAGCCAGGAGCCCCACAACCAGCGGGCTCACCCCAGGCTCCATGTGGCCACGTTCTTCAGTAATCTGACTCCTCCCCCAGCCCCAAGGTCCTCCTCCCACCCCAGGTGGAACATTCCAGGCATTCCTTGGCACGGAATGAGGCTACAGACCTCATGGTCCGGTACACAGCAGGCACTCAATAAGCTTCAGCCAGACTGGACACCAGATGCCAGCTCCCTCCCTACTCCCAGTGATTAAACTGGACCACGTGGAGATGTGAGAACGACTCCACGCTAATATTTCAAAAGGGCCTGCTCCTCGCCCCTCATCTTGAGCATCACCGTATTGGCACAACGGGAGTGACACACAGAGAAGCACACCCAGACCTCAGGGGAGCCGCCCTGCAGCCTTACCGATGGCCAGCAGCTCCTGGTTGGCATCAATGCGGTAATTATTTTGAGAAGCTAAAGAGAAGAGACAATGAAATCACTGTCACTAGATATATGACATTATCAGAAAATGTTCATGAAATGAAAAGATAGGTTTTACATTTCTGTCTACAGCCTTGTCTAGGTTTTGTAAATATAAACGTATAAACACATATACAGTATCTACATACACACAAATGTACATGTGTACGTGTCTGTGTGCGTCACACACAAACGTAGAAAGCCAGACAGCAGAATGTGAACAGTAGTTAATTGAGATGGTGAGGGAGGTTACAGGTGCTTTGTTTCTTTATCCATTCCTGCACTTTCAACAATTTCCACAATAAACATCTATTGCTTTTATAATAAAGAGGAAAAGTTCTAAACCAAAAACCTCTCTGACTACAAATCAGGAAAACTAGAAGGTCACAGATGAGGCCACCCCAGAGAGATGAGCAGGCAAAGATTTACGGGGAACCAGGGGGGCCTGAACCTAGGACAGAGGTGGGCAAACGTCTTCTGTAAAGGGCCAGACTCTAAGTATTTGAAGCTTTGAGGGCTGCGCTCTCTGTCGCGACTACTCATCTCGCCGTTGCAGCCTGAAGCAGCTGGAGAACTCGTCAGCAAGCGAGCCAGATCGTTCCAATAACCCCTTCTTTGTGAACTCTGAAATACGGATTTCACATACTTTTCATGTCTCCCAAAATACTAATCTTCTCTAGATTTTTTTCAAACATTTAACAATGTAAAAGCCATTCTCAGGTCACAGGCAGCTGCCCTGATTCGGGAGAAGGACAAGCTTTACAAACTAGAAGAGGAGGTCAGCTGACTCTAAAAGAAAACGGAAAGTTTTCTAAGATGAATAAAAGCTGGAAGATGCAGATTCCAAGACACCCCCCAAAAAATTATCAGAAAAACAAAAACTGAACAAGAAAGGTGTGAGCTGAACATGTTGCAAACTGAAATGCAGTGTGATCTTGAGCAACTGCTGGTGTCTGAAAAGGAACACCCTTTAGAATGGAAGTTCTCCTTGGAATGGTGTCAAGGTCAAGATGCCGGAACTTCAGAGAAGGAAATTTACTCCTGGCTGACAACCTGGGCTGGGCAGTAAACACACTTTACATAGTCAACAACAACATAGATACCATTTACTGGGTTTTAACCTCTAGAATTAACCTATACCCAAACGCAAGGAGGATTCAACTATGTTGCAGAACGGGGTGAAAATGTCCTCCAGCAAAGTCCAGCGGACCTACGAGGGAAGGGAGGGGACACGTTGAAACAGCCTCAACGCACGTGGAGGGAATCAGAGCACTGAAGACGAATAGATACTTAGATTAATGTTTCCCGGCCTCGCTGAGGGCGAGCAGGGGACAGGCCTGGTGTGCTCAGCCAGCCGGAAAGGGCACATCGTTAAATTTTTAGGACTGTTGTGAGCTGGTGATTAAAAACAGCATTATCAATTAAATGAAAACTCTCAATTAAATTACATTAAAAGCAGAGATAATACTTAAACGTGTCGTTCCTAATGATTCTGCTACATTTCACTGTGACTGTGGAGGTTATCTAACTGCGCCTGTGCGGCGGACGGCGGCTATGGCACACCTCATCCCAACCTGGGGACGTTCAAACTCCACGTTCGGCTCAACACAGGCCGGGGGTCAGGGGAATTTACACCCCAGGAAGTGCAACTGGCAAAGGCTAAATGCAGGGGCTTTTATTTCCACAGGCTGTCCAACATTTCCAGCCACCACTGGAAGGCGTTTTTTTGTTTGCTTTTTTGTTTTTGTGAGGAAGATTGCTGCTGAGCTAACATCTGTGCCAACCCTCTACTTTATGTGGGACGCCGCCACAGCATGGCCTGACGAGCAGTGCTGGGTCTGCACCCAGGATCCGAACCTGTGAATGCCGGGCTGCTGAAGCAGAGTGTGCGAACTTAACCACGACACCACTGGGCTGGCCCCTGGAGGGCATTTTTCATTGTAAATCCATCACTGTTATAGATTTTTTTTTAAAACATGAACATGTATTACTTGGATAAATACTCAAATTTTTAAAAATAGAGCAGACAAAAGCAAGCAAGAAGGTAGGAGGGCCAAGGCGTGAGGGCAGGTGTGGGGGGATGGGGCGGGCATGGGGGCAGGGAGGAGGTACAGGGACGAGGCGTGGGGATGAAGCAGCGGGCATGAGGTGCAGGAGCAGGGGCAGGCGTCTTACCGAAGGACTTGGCCACTGCGATGCTCTCCAGGAGACCCATCAGGGGCACCACGGCCAGCCCTGCCCCCATGTCCTGAGAGAGGAGAGAGGGTGGGTGAGTGGCCCTCTGGGGAAGGTGAGGATGGGTGTGCCCAGGCAGTGGCCCTCCAAGGCGGGCACGGCTCTTCCACATCTAACAGAAGCAAATGTGCTGCAGGCTGTGAGCTCACACAGGCCAGGAAGTGGCTCCTCGTCAAGCAAGGAGCAAGCCGCAGAGCAGAGCACAGCCAATTCCTGCTCTGCCAGGATCCACAGTGGGAGGAACACCCTGGGCTCAAGGCAGAAAAATCAATGTGGAGTCCCCTGAGGCTTGCCCAAGGTGGAATTCTTTCACACCTGTTCCTGTACCCAGAGGCGGCCCTTCCTGAGGACTCAGCTGACCTAGCTGAGCCCAGAGCTCCCTGTCACTAAGCAGATACATTACAGGAACAGAACCGGCCTGGCTCCCCATCTCTACCCACCTGTACCATCTCGGTGAAGGAGACTGTCCCGTTGGCGGTGGTCACTGAGAAGGGAGGGGTCCGGACTGGAGGGAGCCCCTCGGCTATCTCCCCAGTTAGAACGAAGGGCTGGTATCCGGTCACCTCGAAAGAGTACGCAACCAGGGCAGCAAAGGAGACCACCAGGGCATTGCGAGCTAGGACAGAGAGGGAGAAGCTGTCGGTGTAACTTGGTTCCTCTGGGTAGCTGGGGTAAATACCCACAGGAAGCAGAAGACCCAGCCCAGCCACGACCCCTTCCAGGCCAGCCTGGGAAACAGCACAGATACAAGCAAACGTGTGGCAGGCACAAGCACGTGACACCATGGAAAACAAAGCCATTGGTTAGGGTCAGGGTCAGGGCAGTGACACACAGGGCCAGTGTGCAAGTCATCTGCTGGTCACCACCATCTACTGGTGACCACACAGCCGACAGCACAGCTGACAGCACAGCTGGAAAGACACTTTGACATCAGATGTCCAGGGAAGATTCCTCTTCAGAGTAAGACGCAGTGAGAGAGCAGGCTTACTCTGCAGCCGGAAACAACCGACAACTGAACAAAATGCATGGAACAACGGTTTTCAATGCTGGACGTAAAGATGCTGGACATAAAGGTACGAAGGACGATGATCCCTTGAGACGGGACACAAGGGAGGAGAGCCTGTGATGGCCCTGTAGCTGATGGCCTGGAGTGTCTCTAGTGTGTGGGGTGTGGAGGGGGCCCCCAGCAGAGCCTGGGGTCTCTCTGATGGAAGAGGCAATGCTGGGAGTCCAGGGATGTCATGGCGGCTGAACTTGACAGGAAAGCTCACAGGAGAGGAGATGACCCCACCGAGAGAGCCTGGAGACCAGTGGAGGGCCCCCCGTGGGTGTGCAGCAGAGAACTAGCAACCCACACCTATGAGGAAACTACAACGCAAACCGGGGAAAGAGACACCCAAGAGGGTTAGACGGGATGACCCCTGACACGGGCCAGGAACAGTTTGTGTCCCCAGCAGCCAGAATGAAAACCTCATAACTCACGGGGCATCAGGTACTCAGTCAGGATTTACCCCAGCAGCAGAGAAATTCACCCTGGACCTGGGGTTGCAAGTTATCGCTGTAAAAGGCTAGACAATAAATATTTTTGGCTGTGTGGGCCATCCAGTCTGTTAAGATTACTCAACTCGGCTGTTATGGCACAAAAGCAGCCAGAGGCAATACAGAAATGAATGGGACTGGCTGTGTTTCAATAGAGAACTGGAACACAATTCCAGATTTGGCCCAGTGGCCATGGTTTGCCACCATCAGCCAACGCCTGCTCTAGAATGAACACCACTCTGTTCTAGCCTACCAAGCTTAAGAAGAAGACCCGAATGGATCAAAGTATTCCAAGCAACTTAACTACTTCTCAGAACAAAGCTCATGAAGATTTCTAGAATACAAGAATATCCAGCACCCATCAAGGTCAAACTCATGACATCCAACTGAAATCACAAAATCCAGTGAAAAATCACCAGGCGTGCAAAGAAGCAGGAAAATATGACCCATAATGAGGAGAATAATCAATCAATCAAAACTGACCCCCAGTGACACAAATAGGACAGAATGAGCAGTCAGGACACTAAAAGGAGTAAGCGTACCTGTACTCCACAGGTTCAAAAGCTGGCGGGAAGATTAAGTATGTTAAGTAGAGACGTGGAAGACAGACATGAAAACCACAATGTCTAAGATGAAAAAACACCAGATGTGATTAACAAAAAACAGGATATTGCAGGAAAAAAGACAAGTGAACCTGAAGATGTGGCAACAGAAACCATCCAAAATGAAACACACAGAGGAAAGAAAGATTAAAAAACTGCACAGATCATCAATAGTGCAGGACAATTTCAAGTAGCCTAATTATATGTATCAGAGTCTGCAAAGAAAATCTGAAGGGGGGGGGCAGTACAAAGATCCAAAGAAATAATGGCTGGATATTTTTCCAAATTTGGTGTAAACAGCAAGCCCACACATCCAAGAAGCTCAATGAATCCCAAGCACAAGAAACACCAAAAGAACCCACACCAAGGCACATCACAATCAAACCGCCCCAAACCAGTGATAAATAGACTATCTTAAAGTAGGCAGAAAAAAGGGTCAATTACAGAGGAACAAAGATAAGAACGGCATACTTCAGGTTGTAAGCAAAGCAGGCCAGGAGACAGCAGAATCGATCTTTAAGGCACAGCCATGCACCATATAACGGTGTTTTGGTCAATAACAGACTACATATATGATGGTGGTCCCACAAGATTAGTACCATACAGCCGAGGTATGTAGTAGGCTATACCATCTACGTTTGTGTGAATACACTCTGTGATGTTCGCACAGCAACGAAATCACCTAATGATGCATTTCTCAGAAAGTATCCCCTTTGTTAAGCAATGCATGACTGTACTGAAGGGGAAAAAAACTGTCTAGAAATCTATATTCAGCAAAACTAACTTCCAAAAACGGGAGCATAATAAAGATTTTTTTTGGACATACAAAAGCTGAAAGAATTCATCACCAGCAGGCCTGCACGACAAGAAAAAATACAGGCGGTCCTTCAGGCAGAAGGAAAATGATACAGGTGGAAATCTGGGTCTACACAAAGGAATGAAGAGCACCAGAACAAGTGACAACGTGGGTAAGCATAAAAGACTTTGTTGTTATTATTTATGTCTCTTTAAAAGTAACTGCATGTTTAAAGCGGAGGTGATTGCTGTGGGGTTTGTAATAGATGTTAAAGAAAAATATAAGACAACAATAGCACAAAGGCTGGAAGGGGAGAAACAGAAGTATCCTAATCCTGTCATAAGTTCTTATATGAACACAAAGTTGAATGCACACTGCCTGAAGATAAAGATGTAGACAATAAACCCTAAAGCACCCACTGAAAAGCAAAAAACACACAGGCAACAGTGATAGCCAATAAGCCAATAAAGGAAATAAAAAGGAGTCATAAAAGATACTCAATCCAAAAGATGGTAGAAAGACAGGGAAAAGCGAACAAATGAGACAAATAGGAAACAAATAGAATTATGTTAGATCTAAAGGCAAACATATCAATAATCACATTAAATGTAAATGGTATTATCCCCAGTTAAAAGACAGAGATTGTCAGATTGGATTAAAACACAAAAACCCATCTATATACTTCCTACTAAAAACATAATTTAAACAGAAAGACACAAGTTAAATATTTTAAAAATGAAAGCATAGGAAAATCTATGCTAATACTAATCAAAAGAAAGCTGGAGTAAGCTCTCTATCAGAAAAAGTAGATTTTGGAGCTAAGAAGACTCTCAGGGATAAAGAGGGTTATATCAAGAAAAAATTGTAATCCTACGTGTGTATGTATATGCAAAGTATGTTCTCTGACCACAGTGGAATTAAATCAGAAATCAACAGCAAAATATTAACTGGGAAATCCCCAAATATTTGGAAATTAGCTGCTAAATAGCACCTGATTCAAAGGAGAAACAAAATAAACCACTTCTAAATAACCCATGGGTCAAAGAAGAAGTCAAAACGGAAATCAGAAAGCACCTAGAACTAAATGAAAATGAAAACACAACCTGTGAAAACTGTGGGATGCAGCTAAAGCAGTGCTGAGAGGGAAACACACAGCACTGAAAATCTATATTAGAAAAGAAGAAAGGTCTCAAATCAAAGGCCTGAGCTTCTGCCTTCAGAATTCGAAAAAGACAAAGTAAACCCAAAATAAGCAGAAGAAAGGAAATAATAAAGATCTGCCTTGTCCTAGCTGTGTGACCTGGAGAAGTCTGTCTTAATTGTTTCTTTTGCCTTTCATAGCCTCATTCTCCTCACTGGCAAAACGGGGAAAATATCATCCCATCCTCAGGCCTCTTATGAGAATCAAAAGGAGTAACGTGTGTGAAGTGCTTTATAAGCCATAAAGCACCGTATGTCAGATTACGACTCATTCCACTTCTGCACGGCTCCCCTTTTCCATCTGAAAAGGGGAAGAAGTGACATAAGGATATGTTGGAGCTCAAGAGGCACAAACTGCCAAACAAAGTACTGCTATAGATTAACTGTCCTCACTCGGCTAAAATACAAGCTTGAACGATGACTTTTTTAAAAAAAACAGTTGGGAGCTCGCTGACTTCCTAAGGCGATGCCACATGTCCTGGAGAGAAAGGAGACAGCAGCTCCTGAGAAACCCACGGGGTTTCAGAGCAGCATTTCTGACTTGGCATGCCTACCAATAACCTGGCGAGCGTGTTAATCTGCGGGTTCTGAGTCAGAGGTCTGGGTTGGGCCTGCGAGTCTGCATTTCCAACAAACTCCCAGGAGATGCACAGGCTGCTGGTCCGCGGCCACATTTTGAGGGTCAGGGTTTTAGAGAACAGAGCATTTATCTGTTTCACTATTTCACAGACGACTGAACTAAAGCTCAGACACTTTGGCAAGTGACCTGTCCAAGATCAGATGCTGGGGAAGCGGTGAAGCTGGGCTTTGAAACCAGGTAATCTTACTCTAAGCCCAAAGCTCTTCCACCCTACTGAGCGCTCAGTGTTTACCCACGGCCTCTGGTCTGCAGAATGGTGTCTAGTGAGCGACTCTAGCGACTGGCGACCAGCCTGAGGAGGTGGAAGTGACTCAAGGGGCCTCTCCCTCCTACAGCTAGCTGGACTTCACGACCACGGAAGAGCAGGGCCACGCTGGGGCTGATTTCCTTTCCCTTCTGCCCTGGGCAGGTTCAGCAGATCCCAACGCTCCCTTGCTGTCCTGTACCTGCCTTCCTCTCTGGGTGTCACCGACCGGCAGCTCAGCCACAGGGACCTCTGAGGGGAGGTTTCCACCCTCCAAGAGATGTCCCTTCAACGAGCAGATGGCCTCCCTGAAGGCCCCAGTCTTACAGCCTTTCTTTATGGATCCTTTTCTTAACTGTGACTCAACCTGTGGATTCCACGCCTGAAGCAAAATATTTACCCCAGCAGGTGCACCGTTAACACACAACCAGCTGGTCTCAGTGAAACTCGTTTTCTCCCCCAAGGACATGAGTGCACACCAGGGTTTCTGGACTTCGGCACTACTGACATTTTGCGCAGGTCATTCTTTGCCGCGGGAGGCTGTGCACTGCAGGACGTTGAGAGGCATCCCTACCTCTACCCACTAGACGCCAGTAACAGCTTCGCCCTATAGCGTCAACCGAAAGTGTCTCCAGGCATTGCCAGATGTCCCCAGGGAAGGAACTCGCTCCTCATCAAGAACTGCTGCAAAACAGTGTTCTCAGCCTCGGCCGCGCATCACAAGCACCCAGCGAGTTTCAAACACCCCAGGGCCCACGTCACGTCCAGACCAGTGACACAGGAACCTCTAGGGGTAGGACTCGGGGCTCCCACGGTGACCACAACTTGCAGCCCAGGCTGTGCAGGACAGTGGTTCCTCAGCCAGAAGGCCCCTCACCTGTGGTGGCAGTCCAAACCAGCCCGTGGCTGAGCCGCACGCCGGGGGGCATCTCGGGATGCACAGGAGGCACGTGGTCCCGCATCAGCTTCAGCACCAGCAGCAGCACCACGCAGACCAGCCCCAGCACTGCATCGCCCACCCTGCAGACAGACACCTGGTTGCTGCCCAACTGGCCAACCGCACATGCCTTCTGGCCTTTGGTTGCCACTTCTGCAGGAAAGCTTTCTCTCTTGATTGCTCTTTTTGCTTTTTCCTAAGAAACTGCATCTCTGTTCTATTTCAAAACTTTACTCAAAGCTCAGTAAGTACACAGGCTGCGCGGGACTGGGAGTGGAGGCCCAGGCCACCACGGCAGCAGGGCTACTGGTCTTGTTTTTTTTTTTTTTTTTTAAAAGATTTTATTTTTTCTCCCCAAAACCCCCCAGTACATAGTTGTATATTCTTCGTTGTGGGTCCTTCTAGTTGTGGCATATGGGATGCTGCCTCAGCGTGGTTTGATGAGCAGTGCCATGTCCACGCCCAGGATTCGAACCAACGAAACACTGGGCCGCCTGCAGCGGAGTGCTCGAACTTAACCACTCGGCCACGGGGCCAGCCCCTGGTCTCGTTTTCAGTCAAGTCGTTCTCTGCGCTACAGATGCCTCGTCAGTTCCACAGACTTAGGACTAAACAACCCTTTCATTTCTGACAGTCTACGATGCTCTCCAATGGGTCAGTCTCCACTTCCGCTGCCCCCCAGGAGACTGACCCCCACCGCTGCATCTCAAGGGCCAGGGAGCCCCTGGCTTCTAGTGGGTTCAGTCCCCAGAAAGCCTCAGCAGCAGCTCAGAAGGGGAGAAGAGGACGGTGACAGGTGTCCCCCACTCCCTCCAGGCATCAACACTGCTTGCCCCAGGCAGCCCCCCTACAATTCCTGACAGATCATTTCTTCCTCTTGCTCCTCCAGCCAGAGAGGAGTCCTGGCTGCAGGCTGGGCTCATCTAGGAGCAGCTCTTGTTTGTCCCTCTAACCTGCCTGCCCCCTGGGAGGGACTCCTCCACCTGGGGGAGGCGCATGCTGCAGGAACCCCACGACCAGCTGCCTCACTCTCATACTCTCTCTACCTGCCATCTCGTCCTTGGGCACCTGAACGTTTTGCTGGCATCTCCTCCTCCTCACTGAATAGCAAACCTGCTCTTCCTCTTTGCGGTGTCTCCCCCTCCCACCAGCCAGGAAAGCTCTGCACGGGGTCATGCTGACTGGCTCTCAGGTTTCTGGGAGCAGAGCTTCTCAAACCTCACCACGCGCACCAGCCACCTGCAGTTCTGTTAAACCTGAATCTATTCAGCAGGTCTGGGTCAGCCTGAGAGTCTGCATTTCTAACCAGCTCCCCCGGGGTGCTGATGCTGCTCTGGGAACCCCTGTTTGAGCAGCAAGACCCCAGAGGATGGAATAAATGCCACCCAGGAGTGGAAATGGGGAGGGGGTCGGGACAAGGGGTCTGGGAGGAAGAGCTTCCTTATATGGGGGCAGAATCACAGAACCATTGGGGTACCTGGTCTCTCCGATGTTGCGGAAGGTGTGATAGACTTGCAGGAAAAACTGCCGAGGGATGTTTTGCAGTCCCAGGAGATTCTGCTCAAACAGAGATTCTGATCAGACAAGCTTCCCCTGAAATGAAACCTGAAGCGTGAGGCCCCTCCCTTGCAGCATCTCAGCAACGTGTAAATCCAGAATCCTCCGCCCCCAAGGTCCCTTCCTGGGGGCACATCTCAGGGCTCTCCAGGGACCATCTACCCATTCCCAAAGCCCCCAAGGGCAGATCTCAAAGTTATCCTTGGGGGAAGGGCATTGCACAACGTTTATGGGGAGCGACACCTCTCTGCAAATTATTTCCATTTCTGAGGAAAATCAGCCCGGGCGATCTCAAAGCAGGGAGACCGGTTCCACCACGCCCTGGTCCGAGGTCCAGGGTCCGAGGCCCCAGCCCTCCCACCCCACCGCTATTGGCTCATAGCCGCGTCCGTCCTTCAGAAGCCCGCCCACCACTGCGCAAAACGCGCCGTCATTGGTCCGAGGTTTCGTCCGTCACTCGGAGTCCGACCTGCCGGGCACGACCCTCCCCCGCTGGAAGGAACAACCAAGGTGAGCTCCGGACTGAACAGCCCCGGGGGCTCTGAGGGCCTCCAGGGAAGGGGGCTGGAGGAACCCCCCAGGCCTGTCACTACGACCCTGGTCCTCCATCGGGAGGGAGAAGGGGCTCTACTCTGTGCTTTCTTCTTTTATGGGCTTGAGACCCAGTGGGGAGCGTCAGATGGGTAAGCGGAGGCCCAGACTCCCAGGGCTGTCAGGGTCCCAAGGACCCCAAAATCCGCTGAGCACACAGCCCCCAGGGTGGACCGACAATGGCTTCTGCCCAGGTCAAGAGGAACCCACCTGCACCCTAGCCTAGGCTCACATGGCTGTGATGACCTAATCAAGGTTTTAATGACTTTGGGGGGGTCTAGTGTCCCCAAGTACTAATGCATAAAAAGGCTACCCTCTATGCAGATTACAATCATATAAAGGCGCATTCCTGACATTAAAAATGAAAGCTACTGGTTCCAGCATAAAGGACAAACCATCCCATGAAACAGCACTTGCCAAGCTTCCCTGATGTACATAACACATAAATCGCATTCGCCCACACCTTTCTAAGTTGCTTCCTCCTCTCTAACTGGAGATGATGACAAACCTCCCTCCCGGGGCTGTGGTGAGAATCAAACACAGGGAAAGTGTGTAAGCCAGTCCCCAGCCATAGTAGGAGGGCAAGAAGTGCTAGGTACTTGATTCTCACACACACATCTCCTGTCCTCAATCTTCTCACTCCCCTCCATCAGGGAAGACTGTCATGGGCCAGCCTGGAGCAGAGCCTGGCCGTGGCTCATGGATGGGAAAACTCTACCAAGAGCAGTGCTGTTGTTACTGGTCCCCCAAACTACCTGTTGTAGAATCTGACCTTCACCCAACATCTCCCCAGAGGGATCGTTTTAGTAACAGAGACCCATGTGAACAGCGCATGCTTCGAGCTCAGGAACAGCAGGACGTTGACTGGCCTGCATATATCAGGACCTGGCCTTGGTCCTGCTACCCTACAGGTGTCCCAGTGCCAACTAGCATGCCTACCTTGATCTGCCCGAATCCGATGGTGACGGCAGCAGCAGATGTGAAACCTTTAATGACGGGGCAGGAGATGAAGTCCAGCAGGAACCCTGGCAGGCCAAGAGGGAATACCAAGCTGGTCCCAGCTCCACCAGGTCCCAGAGGACACAGGCGGATGTAGGCTGAGAGAGGTGACGTGGGTGGGATTAGGGCTAAGGACTCATGGGCAACATGCCCTGTGTGGACTGGTTTGGACAGCAAGAAATGGAGGCTAGGGTCTGAGGCCCTCGACACTTCTCCAAGTGTCCTGGCCTCTAAACAGAACAGGGTACAGGCTGAGGGCACCCCCCCAACACACACACACACAGGGATAGCCCTTGAAATGCATAGGAAAAAATGCTCAGGGCGTGGGCATCTCCAGGACGCAGGTACCCGGGTACCCCAGGAAGAGCAGAACCACAGCACGCGCTCCCCCCGCCCCCAATGGCAGGAAAGCCTGAGAGCCTTACCCAAGCGCAAGAACCCCATGGCCAACTGGATGCAGCCCGATAGGAAGGCCAGCAGCACGGCATAGGCGGGCTCATGGAAGGTGTAGAAGGAGACCAGGAGGGACAGGATGGCTGTGGGGCCCAGAGTCACATCCTTGGAGGTGCCCAGGAAGAAATACACGAAGCACCCCATGAAGGCAGAGTAGAGGCCGTACTGTTGGCAGAGAGAGCGATGAGCACCTAGGAGCCACCCGGCACACCCACGGTGTCCCTGGGGTAGACGCCTGAGCACACGTATCTGTGTGTCCATTATGTACTTTGGGCACACCAGCGCATCCAGGCAGGGTAAACCACTCACTCTCTATCATCCACGGGTGTGGACCTGCTGATTAAGGGACCTCCTTTCTATCTGCACCCAAGCGGGGCCTTGGGGACTATCTGTGGGAGCACAAAGGCCTGTGTGCTTCTCTGTGAGTCTGCGAGTCTGAGAAAGCATTCTTAGGGCTACAATGAGTCATCCCACTAGCCCCATTAGGCAATTCAGAACTAGCCTGGTGCCTGTGTGTGACAAGTGCCACAAGAGCAGTTTCAGGGGCGTGTGTCTGCCCAAAGGTAGTCACATGCTCTAGACCATAACCCAAGGCTTCCTGGGCCCCCTGGGGCAGGAGCTCTGGGTGCCCGGCTTGTCTGGAAAGGATACTATGCATTTTTACTCTGCTTCTCTGTGGGCACTGAGACCCAGAATGGGGTCAGGCCGTGGGGAGGCGATGTGGCTGGGGATAGACATCTCACCTGAGGCGGGAGTCCAGCCACTTCAGCGTAGGCCAGCGCCTGGGGAATGACCGTGAGCCCGACCGAGAGCCCGGCGATGAAGTCCATCTTCAGCCACTGCATGGAGTAGTCCGGCAGCCAGGCCAGGATGGGCAGCCTCCTCTGCACGGCCGCAGGGGAGCAGCAGCAGGCCTGTGGGGCCATCCCTGCACCCGAGGGCCTGGCCTGACCCAGCGCCTTCACAGAGGAGGGCATGCCTGGGGTGGGCGTGGGGGCAACACAGACACGCAGTCAGGATCCCAGGCTCAGAGAACCCAGCAATGGGCAGGGGGCCCAGGGGCATCAGGAGCGGCACAATGCAGTTCCCTTCTAGGGGGTCTGAGCCAGATGGGTTAACCCCCACCCCCCTTGCTGGTCTGAGAGAGGAAGCCAACAACCTGTGAGGAGCAGGCCTCAACCAAAGGTGAAGTGGCCCCTCCCCTGCTCTCTGCTCTCCCTGAATCCCACCCGCCCAGACCCCAGGTGCCCTCTCTCCCTCCATCACTTGCCGGGAAGAATACGATAAAGGATTTCTCAATGAGAAGCCTAAACACTAATTAGACCAGGGTTTCTCCTCCCAGGAGATTGTTTGCTTTTTTTTTTCCCCTCCCCACGGAAGTTTTCGGGAGCAGCACAGAGAGACACAGGGTCCATGCGGGCCCCCTAGTCTGGCTGGTGGGGTGAGTTGGGGGGACTGGAGGCCCTGAGGGCCCCGACGCTTTCCAAGTGCGCACCATGGCGAGTTCCACCCACTACTGCGGACTGCGGCGCAGGCGGGGGGTGGGGGGGGGGGGTCTTCCATCCTGAGTCTGCGCATTACGCCAACCCCACCTGTGGCATTCGCATCCCTAGAGGGGCCTCGGGGATTCTAGTTGGTTCTGGGAGAACGTCAGAGACTCCTCCATTAATTAATAGATGCGCAACACCCTCTAGGGTCCTGGTGCCCCACTGCGCGCAGAGCCAGCCTCAGACCACCCCCCACCCCCGGCCCCGGCGGGGCTACTCCGGGCAAAACCCGGCTCCCACCCCCGAACCCAGCCTGGGGTCTAGGCTGGGGACCGCACGTCGGCTGACGGTCCGCTGCCTGCCGGCCCCAGCAAGGCCGAGGGCGGCGGGAACCTGAGTCGGGACGCGGTGGGTGGAGAGCCGGGATCCCCACAGGAGGAGCCCGCACCCTCGGATCCCGCGTCGGCCGCTGCCGACGACCCCGGCCGGTCCCGGCAGCTCGCCCACCCCGCCCCGGGTCCCGCACCCCGCCACCACCCGCCACCCGCCGCGGACTCACCGGTCGCCGGAGATCGGGGTCTCCAGTGTCGCCGCAGCCCGATCTGCAGGAACCGCAGCGGGAGGGGGAGCGAGGGGCGGAGCCTGTGTGCACGTGACCTCGGGCCGAGGCGGGCAGGGGCGGGGTCTGGCGGGCATGTGACCGCGGGGCGGGGTCCGGTGGGGAGCTGTCGCCATGCGCTTCCCGGGGCCGGCCTGCTGGACGCTGCTGCTGGTCGTGGGGTTCTGCCGCGCGCACCGGGTGCGCCCCCGGAACGTGCTGCTGATCCTCGGTGAGTGCGCCCTTGTCGACCCGCCGCCACCCCGAGCGCCGCCCTCCACGGCTGCCTGTTGTCGCCCCTAGAAGCGGCCACTCGCCCGTCCCTACCCACGGTCGATGCTGACCCCAGCGTGCCCTGCAGCTTCCATTGCCATCCCTTCCCCTCTCTGCTGTCCCCAGGCTCTTCGTGGTCGGCTCCTCGGAAAGGGAAGTAGGGGCGCCCTCCCGCACGGCGGAGTCGGCTGGGATTCAGACCCCAGATTCAGCACCTGACTCCTGTGCCCGGCTCTGACCCTGCGTCCCCACCCGTGCCCAGAGCAGCCAGGGATAACCCTGCGGGCCCCCAGCTCGGAAGCTGGGCGGCTTTCCAGAATCCGGGGGTCCACAAATCCCAGACGGGGATGCCAGAAGAAGGGCTGGTGCCCAAGTCCCCAGAGATGCGGCTGGGGTCCCCTGGGGCTCTCAGCTCCTCCTCCGCAGTTTTCCAGATCCCAGAGCGCTGTGGCTCAGCTCTCCTGGCTGACGGGTGCAGCCCCCACCCGCCCTCCCCCCAAACCCCATCCCCTCCCAGAAACCCCAAGTTCCTCCAGCTCCCTGCTCTTCAAAAGATTTCTGCAGACTTCCGGCTTGGGTGACCAGGGCCGGGCTGTCACAAGGCAACCTGATTCTTTCCTCTTTTGAGGTCTGGCCCTCTGCCAGGTTTGCTCATTCTGATTAACTTTGTGGTCTTAGGCCAGGCCCTTCAGCTAATCATAACATAAACAGCTCTCCACTAAGGGGTTTCTGTCAACTACCCCCTCCCAGGGACTCAGGTGGAATCTGCACGTGGATCGACATCCTCATGTGGTGTCTGCAGAGCCCAGGGCTGTCCAACCCTGCCTGCCTGCTAATGTGCCCAACTGGTGTCGTGCCTGCTGGGTACCACACAGGCCTGCTAACGTGCTCGCCCGGGCTTCATACGTGCCTGGTTGTCTTCCCGCTCAGTATCAGGCCTGCCTGGGTACCACGCCCCCTGGCCCAAGCCACCGGGCAAGACCCAGGTCTTCCTCACTGCCACAGCTGCTCCTCCTGAGCCCCGCGTACCATGCCCTCTGTGTCTCCCGCCTTCCCCAGCGGATGATGGAGGCTTTGAGAGTGGCGCCTACAACAACAGTGCCATCAGTACCCCTCACCTGGACGCCTTGGCCCGCCGCAGCCTGGTCTTCCGCAATGCCTTCACCTCAGTCAGCAGCTGCTCTCCCAGCCGCGCCAGCCTCCTCACCGGCCTGCCCCAGGTGAGGGCGGCAGGGGCGCAGGAGGAGGGCATGGGAAAGGGAGAGCCCCCAAGGCCTCTGCTGCAGGGAGCCCCTCCCTGGTCTCCCCTGGGGATGTGTCCGCCTTCCCTCCCTGGCCCCAGCCAAGTGGTCTGAGTGCGGCTGGGGGATCTGGCTACCCACCCATGAACCCTGCTGCACCACTGTGTGACCGCGAGGAAATCACTGGCCTCTTTGCACCTGGGTGTTCTCACCTGTAAAATGGGGTCATAATCATGCCTCACCCACGGGATTATTATGGGATTGGCCGAGTTAATCCTTTATGCATAAAGCATGTAGCAAGGTGCCTGGCACACACTTGCCCAGTGTTAACTCCTATTATGATATTGTCCCAGGAGCTCGTGCGACAATAAGAGCTGTCACTTAAGGCACTTACTCTGTTTTTATTGTAAGATGTATGTAATGTAAAATTTACCATTTTTACCATTTTTAAGTGTACCGTTCAGTGGCATTAGGCACATTCACAATGTTGTGCAACCATGATCACCATCCGTCTCCAGAACTCTTTCATCTTCCCAAACTGAATCTCTGCCCCCATTCCACACTGACTTCCCATCCCCTCCCCCAGCCCCTGACAACCACCATCCTACTTTCTGTCCCTGTGGATTTGGCTGCTTTGGGTACCTCACGTCACTGGAATCACACAGTGTTTGTCCTTTTGTGACTGGTTGACTTCACTGAGCATAATGTCCCCAAGGTTCATCCACGTTGTAGCAAGTGTCAGAACGTCCTTCCTTTTTAAGGCTGACTGCTGCTCCATTGTGTGGCTGTAGCGTGTTACATTTATCCGTTCCTCTGTCGACGGACGCTTGGGTTGCTTCTGCTTTTGCTGTTGTGAATAGTGCTGCTGTGAACCTGGGTGTACTTGGGCACTTAAGATTGGGAAGTCACTTCATGACACTCTCTCCTGGTGAGCAGGTGCTCTGTGCGTCCCCATCCGAGAGGCCGAGGCTGAGTAGAAGGCCTCCGTGGAGAGGGAGCCTGTGGCCCGCACGCAGACGCTCCCTGACAGGTCCGTCAGGCAGCCGTGGACTGCGCTCCCTTCTGGGTGGTGGGCTGCAGGAATACGGAGGGGGCTTCTCCTTCTCTCCTTACTCCTTTCTAGTGTGGGTTTGTAACATGTGCCACGATTTCTTTTATGCTGTAAGAAAGCTAGTTAATTAGAAGAGGGCTGCTGTCGTTTTCGGTCTACAATGTGTGCTCATAATAGAAAAGTTGAAAAGTACAGAGAAGTGGAAAGAAGAAAATAAGTTCCCCCTAATTTTGGTGTGCGTCCTCCCAGTCCACTGTATTTCCTGCCGATGTCCCATGGGAGGCACTTGTGGGCCTGTCGGGCGCAGAGGGAGACACGGAGAAAACCTCCCTGAGTGCTGGCCACCTGAGGTCTAAATCGGGCCCAAAAAGGGCCAGTCGATGCGCAGAGGGGAGAGCAGGGGCAGGCAGGGCAGGTCCCGGCGGCCGGGCGGTGCCTGCCTCACAGCCTCTCTGCCTGCAGCATCAGAACGGAATGTACGGCCTGCACCAGGGTGTCCACCACTTCAACTCCTTCGACGGAGTGCAGAGCCTGCCGTTGCTGCTCCGCCAAGCTGGTGTTCGCACAGGTGAGGGGCTTCGTGCCACCGCGGGGACAGGACGGTAGCTTCCCTCCCTGCCCCAGAGGGGTGAGCCTCAGCCACCCTCAGCCCTGTGTCCCCTGCTCTGAGCACTTGTCCCCAAGACCCTGGGCCATGGGTCCGTAAGAACAAGGGCTCAGGCTGCTCTCCCAGAGGCCACGGCAGGACGCAGGGCTTGGGGGGTGGAGAAGGGAGCCGGGTGTGGCGGGGGGACTGAAGGGGGTCTGGACAGGCCTGTCTCCCTGCCTCCAGGCATCATAGGGAAGAAGCACGTGGGGCCGGAGGCGGTGTACCCGTTTGACTTCGCGTACACAGAGGAGAACGGCTCCGTCCTGCAGGTGGGGCGGAACATCACCAGAATCAAGCTTCTGGTCCGGAAATTCCTGCAGACTCAGGATGACAGGTGCGCACAGGGCCCTGCCCCGGCCCTCCCCACGCGGCCGGACCTCTGGGTGGTTCACATGTGGCGCACGTCCCAGAGTCTCTAGTTGGGATTCTTGGAGTCCCCGGCCGGTGGAGTGGGGGTGGGGGAGAAGGTTCCAGATACTCAAGTTAATCTGGTCAGAGGAAGAGGGTATATGGGGAAACTGAGGCGGTGGGGATCACGGGGAGATTTCAGTTCTAGGGCGGTAGGCAAAGCTGAGAGGGCTGTTCCTTCCTGAGGATTGGGGCTCCCCAGGTGGTGTGTCAACTGGCTGACCTTGACCTCAGCACTCAAGCCCCTTCCTCCCCGTGCAGGCCTTTCTTCCTCTATGTCGCCTTTCATGACCCCCACCGCTGCGGGCACTCCCAGCCCCAGTACGGGACCTTCTGTGAGAAGTTTGGCAATGGGGAGCGCGGCATGGGGCGGATCCCAGACTGGACCCCCCAGACCTATGACCCACAGGATGTGCTGGTAGGAGGACCCCTCCTGTGTTACCAAGACGCCCGCCCACCTTTGTTCCTCCCCCTTGTAAACTGGGTGTGCATCCCTGGCCTGAGATGTGGAACTCTAGTGTGTAAGAAGAGATCCTCTGACTCACTGGATCCACGTTGCATCTGTAGGGCTGACAGAGAAACGTAAAGATGTGGAATGATGTATCCAGGAGCATGGAGGTTCCGGGCCAATCCATTCACAGGAAGGACGAGGATTTCAGGCCCCAGGAGGGAGGCCGGCACCTCTGTCTCCTACCTTAGTTCAAGGGCAGCCACCCGTCCCCCAACCTGTCTGCTCTAACCTTGAATTCCCCCCCACCTGCCCCCCCAGGTGCCTTACTTTGTCCCTGACACCCCAGCAGCCCGAGCTGATCTGGCCGCTCAGTACACCACCATTGGCCGGATGGACCAAGGTGGGTTCAGGAGCTGGGGCGTGGGGTATGCCATGGGTTGGGCCCCCATCCTGGGCCAGAAGTCTGAAGTCAGTGTCGGCAGGGCTGTGTTTCCTCTGGAGCATCTAGGGGAGGGTCCTTCCCGCCTTTTCCAGCTCTGGTGGCCCCAGCATTCCTTGGCTCATGGCTGCATCACTCCAGTCTCTGCTTCCACCATCACATGGTCTGCTTCTGTGTCTGTGCCTCTCCTCTTATAAGGATGCTAGTCGTTGAGTTTAGGGCCCCCCTGGGTGCTTCAGGATGATGTCGTCTTGGGATCCTCGACAGTTACATTTGCAAAGACCCTCTACCCGGGGTGACATGGGATGGCCAGCGTCCCTGGAAGGGAGGGCTCAGGCAGAGGCCACGGAAGGCCGCTCCAGGACTTGGTCCTGGATAGAGTGTTGGGGCAGAGCTCTGGGCTGGGGGGAAGGATGGTCGAGGTGAGTTAAGAAATGACCGTGCAGGATCCAGGGGCTGGGCAGAGAAGTGCATGAGTGCACGCACTTTCCCACGCCTCCACGTCTGCGTGTGGCTGAGCTCTGCCGCCCCCTCTGCACCCCATAGGGATTGGACTCGTGCTCCAGGAGCTGCGTGGAGCAGGCGTCCTGAATGACACCCTGGTGATCTTCACGTCCGACAACGGGGTCCCGTTCCCCAGTGGCAGGACCAACCTGTACTGGCCGGGCACAGCTGAACCCTTGCTGGTGTCGTCCCCAGAGCACCCGAAACGCTGGGGCCAGGTCAGCGAGGCCTACGTGAGCCTCCTAGGTATGGCTCTGCGTCTCGTGCAGGAAGGGGGGTGGGCGGAAGCGAGGACTTAGTGGAACCAGCAGGTCCAGACGTTGCAGTGCACACACTACCTTATGTAGTTCCCAACCCCCTGGGAGAGGAAGGGATGGCCGTCCCCTTCTACAGTGCAAAAGTGATCCTCAGAGAGATGAAGTCAGTCACACAGCTTCTCAGTACCAAGCTAGGATTCTAGCCTGGATCTTGACACCTTCAAGATCATTGCTTTTTCCCCTGGCCCACTGGTGAGCGTCAGAATCACTTGGAGCACTTGTTAATCTCCCAGCTGCAGGCCCCACCCCCAGAGTGTCTGATTCAGTAGCTCTGGGGTGGGCCCGAGAAGCTGCCCTTCTGACAAGTTCCCAGGTGACACTGATGTTGTGGCCCCCGGAGACCCCACTTTGAGGGGTCAGGGCAGCAGCACCCACAAGTCAGGGAGCGCTGTGGCCCAAGCACAGAACAGGAACAGGTGAGCCGCTACTTGGGGCTTTCTTCCTGGTCCAGAGGATTTTAGAAGGATCCTGAATGTCACCGGGTTGGGCCTCTTGTACCGTTAAAGGCATCGCAGCCCAGAAGGATGGCGCAGCAGTGACCGGTGTTGGGTCCGTAGCAGCTCCTCCCTGGCGGTGATTTGATGCACCAGGCGGCCCACCAGCTTTCCAGAGTGGCTTAGATTCAGCCCTTCCATGGCGGGGGCTCTCGTGCCCTCAAGGGCCCCCCCATCCACACTAAGACGCTCCCTCCTTTCCAGATCTCACGCCCACCATCTTGGATTGGTTCTCTATCCCCTACCCCCACTATGCCATCTTTGGCTCGAAGACCATCCAGCTCACTGGCCGGTCCCTCCTGCCGGCGCTGGAGGCGGAGCCCCTCTGGACCACCGTCTTTGGCAGCCAGAGCCACCACGAGGTCACCATGTCCTACCCCATGCGCTCTGTGCACCACGAGAGCTTCCGCTTGGTGCACAACCTCAACTTTAAGATGCCCTTTCCCATTGACCAGGACTTCTACGTCTCACCGACCTTTCAGGACCTCCTGAATCGCACCATGGCAGGCCAGCCCACAGGCTGGTACAAGGACCTCCATCACTACTACTACCGGGAACGCTGGGAGCTCTATGACAAGAGCCGGGACCCCCATGAGACCCAGAACCTGGCCTCAGACCCACGCTATGCCCAGGTTCTGGAACTGCTTCAGACCCAACTGGCCAAGTGGCAGTGGGAGACCCACGACCCCTGGGTGTGTGCTCCCGATGGTGTCCTGGAAGAGAAGCTGTCCCCCCAGTGCCGGCCTCTCCACAATGAGCTGTGAGAGCTCCTAGGGGCAGCAGCCCCTCCCTTCCCACACCTGGTTCCTGAGCCCCAGCCTTTTCAGCTGATGTGGAGGGGAGGGGTCAGCCTTGGGGGGCAGAGACCACAGCCCTTCCCTCTGCATCCCATCCAAGGAGGGCTCTCCTTGATGCTGGCGTCACTCCCGCCTCCAGTTGGACGGGAGAGCAGGGCATGTGCCCCGGCCCCCTCCCTCCCCCATGGTAGGGGTCACCACTGACCTTGTGTGTGAACCATGTCCTAGCACAGGAGTTCCAGGGGGTCCCTGGGACTGGGTGAGATCCCCAGCCCATGACAGGTTAGGCTGGCCTGGGCAAGGGGGTCTTGCTTTCTGGGTTGGTGTGGGGACCTGAGATCGAAGGAGCTGGGCCCTGCGCCTTGAGACCCTCTTCATTGTTTGGAGCCCACAGATGTTCCTGTGCCGTTCCCCTGGCTTCTGTGTGCCACGGCAGGGAGGGTGGGTTCAAACCGCACTCTACGCAGGAACACAGTGTCTGGCTGTTATTGCCCTCTGGTCTGGAGGAAACTCTTGAACCACCCTGGGCCCTGTTTGGCTTCCTTTGCTTTGCCCCAGGGTCAAGTTCCTGACCCCCACACTGGGTTTCCACTAGGCCACTGATTGGCGGCAGGCTCCGAGTGACGAGTTTCATCCTGTGGTCTGTATGGGCAAAGCTCTTCTTTCCTTTTGAACGTCCAAGGGTGAAGCCGCCCCATCCTCTGGCTTGGGTTAATTCTGTTTGGATGAACACCAACGTCTGTGGCACAGATGTTGCTTGTGGAATATCCAGACCTGCCTGCCTCCGTCCACCATGGGAGCAGAAGCTCTGCCTGGGAAACCCAGAAAGAGGGGCTTTCTCCCTCACATGGGTGGGCTCCCGTTGCCCTTCTCTCCCCCATCAACTCCATCCTGGGGAGAGAGCCACCGGCCAGAGCAGTGTAAAAGCTTTTTATTTTAGTAAAATATACAGAAGCTTATTTTCTGAACTTGTTTATGACAATACCAACCTGAATTCTAGAGCAGCTTCCTGGGGCACTCACATTTGGGGCACTGCTGCCCAATGACATTCCGTCTATGATGGTGGGAGGCAAAGCCAGGCTTGGGGGGCCCTTGGGGTCCCCGCCCAAGCCATGCCTGACTGTCTGCCCAGCCCTGGAGGTGGCCCGAGAAAGGGTCAGGCTGGGGCTGGTTAGACCGGCCAGTGCTTGTGCAGTGGTGTCTGTGTGTGGCTTCTCCAGGACACCCCCACAGTCTCCACAGCCAGGCACGGTGGCCGCCAGGCGCAGGCCACTGAGAATAGTGTCCATGACTTGGGAACTGTGTTTACCGGTAAATGCACAGTCTCTATAAACTGGATTTACTGAGGCATCTCTCAGCCGTCAGACAAGGAGAGACGTTCGCCAGAGTTACATTACAAGTGGGTTTGCACCTCTCTCTGGGTAGGGTGGGAGTGACCTTAGGGGACACCAGGGCTACCAGTCTGCCACCCCAGCGGGTTTGGAAGCAGGCTTTTGACACATTGAAGTGTCAAAGGCAAGTGCGGTGATTTGGATCAGACAGGCGGTTGCTAGAGACATCTGGGGCCCCGGCTCTGGGGAGGGCCCGGGAAACTCCCCTACTGCCGAAACCTTCTCAGGGTCTCCAGTTCAGATTGTGCCAAGTCCTGGTGAGGGGCAGAGACGATTTACAAAGAAAGTGAACAGCTGGTGTGAATGCCTGTGACCTGCACATGGTGAGGGGTCAAGGTTAGACCCCAATGAGAGAGGGGAGCCGATGCCCGGCAAGCTGGGCTTGTGTGGTAGGTACCCCCAAAGCACTGCCTGTGAGGCCCTGGGCTGAAAGGACAGGACTGCACTAACGGGGATGAGAAGGCCCCACAGCCCTGGGAAGGGACCTTGGGGGGCATCAGTGGGGGTTCTGTTCTGTCCACACGACTTTCTTCTGCTCGTCCGCTATGGCCAAGCGGACACAGCCGAGCAAGGCGTCCAGGTCACTCCAGCCGTCGGGGACCAGGCTGCTGTACAGGCAGGGCACTTTGTCCAGCTCACCCTCCTCCTGCCTGCCGGCCTCCAGGAGCTGCTCCTCCGAGGTGCCAAGCCGCTGCAGGGCCTTCCTGCACAGTCCAGAAACGGTGGGGTGGGCTCAGGGAGGGCAGCAGCCGGCTGCCCTGTGCAGACCCCAGGGAGCTGACCACCGGCTCGGAGCCCAGGCTGGACATACAGATGTTGCAGCAGCTGCCCAAGTGCCCCTAGATGCAGGGGGCCCCCGTTCACAGGGACCGATTGCCTTGTAAAGAAAATGTGACTCAGGCCCCAGATGACATTGCACCCATGCAGGCGGGGGTCTAGTTATAACCTCAGTTCTCAAGTTAAAAGGGGCAGCAGGACATGTGGGTCTGGCCCCAGCGTGTCATAGCCCTCAGCATCTGTCCTCCCCTCACAGGGATGACTAACTGTGTACCCTGGGAAAGGTGTGGCCTTAGTCGAGTTAAGGCAGGTTCCAGGTTCTCACCTTGCTGTCCTCTGGGCTGCTCCCCAGGGGAGAGCGGCGGGACCTTTGTCCCTGAAGTTGTGGGTGAGCTGCCCTGTGACCCTTCTGGGGGCTAGCACAGGTGCATTCCTGGAAACCTCATTGTGCGCTCCAGAGGCGCATGCTGTGGGCTCTGTGGGGAGCTCCGGGGCCGGTTCAAACCCCACCACCAGCCCCCAGTGCACACCTACTTGAGTTTCTTTGCCACCTTCTCGTTGACGGAGACGTGGAGGATGATGGGGAAGATGTCCATCCTGTGTAGGGCATGGACACTGTCCAGCCGGACGTCCAGGAGGGCGTGGGTGTTCTGGGGGGAGGGGGAGGGAGAAGTGAGGCGAGATCTTGGGCCTGGGGGGAGTGAAGGGGGCCCTGGCCTGCCCCGGGGCGATGCTGAGAAGGGGGCCAGGTAGGACTGTAGTTTGTAAAGGAGATGGGGAAGAGGATTTGGGAATGCTCCTGTGTATACAAGGGTGCATGCTGTGCAATTTTTTTTTTTTTTTAAGATTTTTATTTTTCCTTTTTCTCCCCAAAGCGCTCTGGTACATAGTTGTGTATTTTCAGTTGTAGGTCCTTCTAGTTGTGGCATGTGGGATGCCACCTCAGCATGGCCTGATGAGTGGTACCATGTCCACAGCCAGGATCCAAACCGGTGAAACCCTGGGCTGCCAAAGTGGAGCGAGCGAACTCAACCACTCGGCCATGGGGCGGGCCCCTGTGCAATTCTAAGTTTCCGTTCATTTGAGTTTTCACCTGGGAAATCTAGAAACTACAGGTTTTTGGGAGTGAGGGAGACTTGGCATGGAACTCAAACACTAGGAGTCGGACGGCTCCACCAACCTCCCTGGGGATGGGGGTTGGGGTTGGGGGTATCCTGCTCCAGCTCACAGCTGAGCCTGGCCGCCTTGTATCAGTACGAAGCTTGACAGTTCACAGCGAGCATCTTTTCATAGATTTGTTTGAGCCTTAGAACATGGAGTGTGATCTCCATTTATTTATTCAGTTAACAAGTATTTATGAAACGTCTCCCGCGTTGAGGGAACAGGCTCAAGGAAGTTGAAAGACTCACCCAAGGTCACGTGGCTCCCACGTGGCAGAAACGGGGTTTGGGGTTTCCGTGTTACTCCTGCTGAACCCCAAGCCAGAGACAGGCTGAGCACAGACCTGGGGTGTCCAGGGGGCCCCGGAGCTTGGTGACAAGTGTCCCTCAGATCTCATGGGCAGTCCTCCCTGCCTTATCCCACCGCCTCTGGAGCTGGAGTTCCCAAATCCCAGAGCAACCCCAGATCTGCCCCTTACCTTTTCCATGAGGGACTCGACCACTCGGCGGGTCACCCAGCAGCGGCCACCGGATGCCTCCTTCTCCTGGATGATGTCCCCTCTCTGGCTGGAGGCATCATACTCCTCCTGGCTCAAGTACTCTGAAGGTGACAGTGGACGGGGGTCACACACCGGCTGTGTGGGGTCCTGAGGGAGCCCCATGCTGAACACCCTGCCCCCGGGGACCCCGCCAGCTCTGGGAGAAGCCCTTCCTAGAGTGTCCTCTTCACACCCCGGACCCTGCTCTTCACAGTCAGAGGGGTCTGCGCCCTGCACATTCAGCCTAAATCATCAGACACAGTAGATGCTCCAGCAGTGGCGGATGTGGGGGATGGAAGGAAGGAGGAGGGAGAGCGACAGAGGGAGAAAGGAAGGAAGGACGGACGGATGGACAGACAGATATAAACAAACCCATCTCCCATTGCTTCTGCAAGCTCCAAACTTACACATCCAACTTCTTCCATCTAGAAACCCCTTAGATTTCTTAAATCAGTGGTTCTCAACCAGGTCAATTTTGCCCCCAAGGGACACGTGGCAATGTCTGGAGACATTTTTGGATGTCACACCTCGGGGGAGGGGGTGTGCTACTGGCATCTAGTGGGTTGAGGCCAGGGATGTTGCTCAACATCCTGCAATGCACAGGACAGCCCCCCACAACAGAGACTGGTCCAGCCCTAAACGTCAGAGTGCCAGGATAGAGAACCTGCGCCCTCAAGAAGCCTGTTAAAACACACCGCCCTCTTTTGCCTTTCTTCTGGAATAGCTTTTCTTGGTTCCCACCACTGAGTGTCCCAAGTCAGAACCGTGGTGCCGTCCTCCTGGCTTCCTCCATCCCTCACCCGCATCGCGGGCTTCCAGCTCGCAGGCAGCTCCTGGGTCTGCCCTCTCCTCCCCATGGGTGTATTGCCTGCACCACCCCTGGCCTGAGGGTCCCCAATCTTTAGCTCGTCTCCCAGCCCCCAGCCACACCCTTCTCCAGTCCATCTTCCATTCTGCTTTCAAAACAGGCATTCAGAGATCAGGCCTGATCAAGTCTTCTTGCTTCAGAACCTTCACTGACTCCCCCACCTGTTACATAAACCCCTTGTCCCTGCTCACCAGCCTCGCCCCAGCCGTGGTCCAGGCCCACCGTGCTCTCTGTGCCTTTGCACATGCTGCTCCCTCAGCCTGCCTGCCCATCAGATGATCGCAGCTCGCGGCTCCGACGCTCCATCTCTGGGCCACTGCTGGAGTGTGCACCCGTCAGGGGGCCACATCTGCAGGTGTCTGTCTCTAAAGGGCCCCTGAGGGCCTCTTGGACCCTGTACCTCCAGCTCCTGTATGGAGCCTGGCACACAGCAGGTGCTCACTAGAGGAGGCTTGTGGACTGGACTTGCTCCCCCTGTCCCCTCTGTGAGTTCCAGGAGGGTAGGACAAGGCCCTATTCATCCTTGAGTCTTAACCTAACATCTCCACAGCAGCCATCCACTGGTGACGCGGATGAATGGCAGCACCAACACGGGCCTCTCTCCTGCCCTCCAGCCAGTGGAACCACCTTTGCTGCTGCACAAACACACGCTGGCTCTGTCCACTGCGGCCCAGGATTCCTGCCGGCTGCGTGTCTCTGTGACTCTGCTGGTGGCTTTTGGCAGGTAGATGGAACCCTTTGGTTGCATTACCCTGGTTAAGGACAAGCCTGTTTGCCAGCAGTAACTGCACTGGGTTCAATAGTGTCCTCCCCAAATTCATGTCCACCTGGAACCTCAGAATGTGACCTCATTTGGAAATGGGGTCCCTGTAGATGTGGGAGTTTAGGATGAGGTCACAGTGGAGTAGGGTGGCCCTAATCCAATGACTGGTTTCCTATCGGAAGGTCATGTGAAGACAGAGACACACAGAAGGAGAAGGGCTTGTGACGAGCGGGCAGAGACAGGACCGAAGCAACCACAGCCCAGGAACGCCCAGGATTGCCGGAGCAGCCAACAGCCAGAGGAGGCGGGACGGATTCTGCCCCAGAGCCTCTGCGGTGAGTGCAGCCCACGGAGACACCCTGCGTCGGACTGGCCTCCAGAACTGTGGTTTCCTGCTGCCCGCTTGGCAGTAATTCATCACAGCAGCCCCAGGACACTCACACCTTCACGCCCCTCTCCCGCAATCAGATAAGGCGTTCTGCCAAGGCCGCCTCCGCCCCCACCAACAGACAGGTGGGGCCCCAGGTGAGAGCCTACCTGCCAGGCATTTCCTAAACCCTTGGAGGAGGCACAGCTTCTCACTCAGGATCCTCCCGACCACCCTGGGCACGAAGAGCACGGGCCGCGGCCGGCCAGGCCTATGGGGGTGCACCAGGCTGTAGGGCACCAGGGTGAAGCAGCTCTCTGCCCAGAAGCGCACGCTGGAGGGGTCTGTGGGGGAGAGGGGCCTGAGCAGATCAGGCTCCAGGCGGCAGCGGCCCCCGCCCGTCAGCAGTCCTGGGCTGTTCCCCAGGTGTCCCCCAGGAGACTCCGCGCCACCCCGGCACCTACAGTATACGAGCACACGCTCGGCTCCAACAGCGGGGACCACGCGTCCCACAACCCCCGGGGGGCGCTGCCTGTGTGCCCCACAATGGGACGGCTCTGCCGCGCTGCAGGCTCAGTTCGCAGGATGCCGTTTAGCCCCATCTTCCTCGTTTGGCCCACGGGAAGGATGGAGAAAAACGGTTTTCTTCCTTGCCAATCATCTGCAAGGCTCGTCTCTTCTCCCTCAGCCCCAGCCTCTCAGGGCACACGGCCCCCAGTCCCTCCCTCCTGCCCGGGTCCCTCATGCTCCTCCCTCATCCTTCAGGTCGAGCTTCTCTTCTCAACAGCCATCTTATATTATGCACTTAAAAAACCTTTTAAGAAGAAGAAGAGAATAAACCCAGAACAATTTACCTTACTCTCAATTCACTTCTGCTCGCCTTCATTGCGCGGTTTTCCCTGTTCAGGGGCCTGCGCCGTGCTGCTCTGTCTCTCACGACCTCGTACCCTCACCAGTAGCTGCCTGAGGGGCCAGCTAGTTTGTATGACGTGGGGCGTCTGCACAGTTTCAAGTGTTTTCTCTTCTGAAAGGACTGCTGTCAATCTAATCGTGCCAGTGGCTTTGGACCACTTTTAGGGGCAGATCACAGAAGCAGGACCATCGGTTTAAAGGACATTAAAGATGCGCAGCTCCATTGCTCTCCAGAAAGGCGCGTAGGCCTCAGTTATGATTCTTAAGACACGGATTCTGGCCTAAAGGAGTGGTGGCATCACCCTGACCGAGCGGACCAACCAGCAGCAGCTCCCAAGGATCCTCGCCCGTGTGGAGCCAGCGGCCCCTCCACCAGCTGCACCCGCCTCACCTTCCGCCCTGCTGGGGTCTGGCTGGGCCCAGTCGAACGACGAGCACAGAGGGCTGGCCTTGGTTCTGTCCACACTGACGATGCGGACCAACTTCTGGGGTCCCCCGGAAGACGGCTAGAGGGAGGAGAAAGAATGAGGAGGAGTCATCGTCACACGGGCCTGGGGGCAGGCACCTACCCCACCAGCAATTCCAGGCTGGCCCCTGGACCTTCAGGCTGTGCCCACTGAACAGCCAGGAGGCCCAGTGCCAGGGGGTGGGCGGCGAAGGGAGGCAGGAGAGGGTCCTGAGGCAGACAGAGCCCCTGAGCAGGGCGCCCTACCAGCCAGGCGTCCACAGTGAGGGCGGGCTACATATGGCAGGAAAGAAGAGTAGGGGCCCTGAGCCTAGCTCTGCCAAGACCCGGGGGGCGCCCCAGCACCTTGCTCAGGGACGGCGGAGTGTTCTGTGGCAGGGAGCACAAAGGTGCCCGGCCTCAGAGGGAAGAAGGATGGGGGGCAGACGAACAGGCAAAAGGGTTGAACTGGGAGCCTGACGGAGAGAGCATACGTGACGTGTCTGCACCTAGAAGAGCTTGCAGGCTGGTGCGGTGTGCAGACCCAGGTGAAGGTTTGGACGGCCCACGGGGGAGAGAGCCTTCACGTCACCCCCTCACATCAGCAGCCTCCACCCTCAACACAGACCCCCGAGCTAGTCCCCGTCCCGCTTCCAGCCCACCCCAGGTGGGGCCAGGACCCCCAGGGTGGACAAGAGCTTCATTAGGCTCTCCTCGCAGATGTTGTGAGTTGGGGAAGAGGAAGGCCAGGGGAGAGAGGTGGAGCCCACCCAAGGGGACCCTGCCTCCAGGATTGGGGCTGCCCGGGCCAGCCCGCCATCTTACCTTGCGGGGGACAGTGCTCTGCTGAGCCATGTCCTGGAGGAGGGCGATGAGCAGCTGCTGAGCCCTGCACAGAGGAGGACAGCCCCCACCCAGCTGCAAGGAGAGCTGGAGGGAGAAGTGGGCCCCTGCCCAGCGTTCCAGAACACCCCTGCTGCCCCAGGCCGCAGTTGTCCACCCAGGCGGCCCCTGCAGTCCCCTGGGGCTTTTAACTGTGAAGCCTCAGCCCACCCTGCAGATGCCAACTGAATTGTTCTGCCATGGGACCCAGGTGACTCAGTGTGAGCCTGGGTTGAGGCCACCACTCCAGAACCTTGCTCCTCCCAGTGCGGCCTGTGGTCTTCAGCCTGGCACCACTGAAAGAGCATGCTGGGAATGCAACATCTCAGGCCTCTCCCTGCACCGGCTGAGTCTGACCTCAGGCAACTCAGATTTGCAATGAGGCTTGAGAGCTGTGGACGAGGCCGCCTGCTGTGTGCACTGTGGTTGGTCTAGAACATGGTTCTCAGCAGGGAGAGTGTCCAGGGAGAGTCACCACTGTTCCAGTTGTCCCAGGACTGAGGGTTTCCCAGGACTCAAGACTTTCTGTGCTATAACCAAGACAGTCCTGGACAAACCAGGATGACTGGTCACCCTATCCCCAGGGGACACTGGCAGTATCTGGAGACATTTTTGGTTGTCACAACTAGGGGGCAGGGAGACTCCTGGCATCTAGTGGGCGGGGGCTCCACATTCTACAGTGCCCAGCAAGGCCCCCGTGACAAAGAGTGAGCCAGCCCAAAGGTCAGCAGTGCTGAGGTTGGGAAACTCTGGTCCCAAATGCTCCTGAATGCTCCCGGACTGAAGTCCATCCCTTTTCACAAAAAAAACTCCATCCAAGCAGTGAACGTGGTGGGTAGCATGTTGGGGATTCCCCCTCTTTGGGGCATCTCATCACTCCCACCCTCTAATCCTAGGCAGCGGAGAGAAGCTTCTGGAAGACCATTCTTGCTCCCGGCAGGAGGGGGTGCCCCACCCTAAGCAAAGCAGGTGATGTCCCCCCGGGCAGCTCCCTGGCCCTCTTTGGGGCAGTGTCGGGGTCCAAGGCAGCAGCTCACCGTGAATAGTTGGGGATGGTGCCGTGCTCGGTGCCCTGTGTGTTGTATGGGCCAACGCGGTGGGCGTGCCAGCAGCTGCGGCCCTGGAACCAGGTGTCAGTGACGTGCAGGATGTCATTGCAACGCACCTGCAGCTCCCCCTCCGCCCGCCCCTCCATGGCCAGGTTGACTCGGATGTAGAAGGAGTCTCCTGAGGTAGCCACTTTGGCCTCTAGGTCTTGGACCAATTTCTTATAACCTGATCAAGGAGGACATGAAGACAGATAAACCCAGGGCTGTGATCCCACACAAGGAAGGTTCTAGAATATGAAAGTAGGAAAGAAAGAAGGAACCCCCTCCCCCCCAACAAAGTCTGAGGAGCCATCCTGGTGCCGGAGTCAGTGGGTGAGAGGTCCCCAGCTGCCTCGGGGGCCTCCACACACTCGGGGCGCAGCCTGGCTCTGGGCTGGGCTGGGCTGTGAGGGCTGACTTTGGCACAGCCAAGGGTTCAGGGAGAGATGGGACTGGGTGGTGAGCAAGTCTCGAGAGGTGGCCTCATGGGAGGAGAGGCCGGGGCCAGTGTGTACCCTCGGTGTTGACCTTCACAGACAGGCAGCAGAAGCCATTCACCCTCCGGAGAAGTCCAACCGCCTGCTCCAGGGTCGTGCCCTCCAGGACGGCCTTGAAGGAGGGCTCCGTTGCTTCATAATCCACCTGAGGGCAAATCGAAAGGGTCTGCCTCATTTGACCAGGATGCTGCCGCCATAGTCTGAGTACAGACGTGTACCCCTACAGGAGGACCCACTCGCCCTTCCCAGCCACTCACACGAACCCATCGGAGCCTTCGTCATGGGCCTTGTATTGGACATCTTGATGCAGGTCCTCCAAGCTACACACATTCCTGCCCCGAGAGCCAACTACCAGCCCTTCCCCAACAGGCTACGCACCAAGATCTCCGCTGAGAGCGGAGCTTCTGCTCTCCAAAATGGACCTCCATTCTAGAGCATTCTGGATCCGGCTTTCTCAGCTTGGGACTATTGACATTTGGGGCCGGATCATTCTGTGCTGTGGGGGCATCCTGGGCACTGCAGGATGGTTGGCGGCATCCCCAGCCTCCACCCACTGGAAGCCATGGCAACCCCCCGCCACCCCTTCCCCAGCAGTGAAGGCCCACACCACAGGGCTCTCACTGTCCATGCCGTTCATCCCCTGGGCTGCTTTTAGTTTAGGAGAGTACACATTTTTATAAGGAGGAAAAGAATAAGGTATGTTTTTAACACAGTTAGAACTGAATTGGCCCCATTCGGAGATCAGGACTGTCTCCCCAACATCATAAAGGAGCTCGGTTGCTTTAACCACGATGTACGCTGATGGTTGAGAATCTCAAGAGGACCGTCAGAAATGTAATGACAGGCTTTTGTCTCGTGAGGAGTGGAGAACACAGGGCAACACTTACATCAGGAGCTTGAGGCATGGTCATTCAAGATACGAGAATGAGGCTTAGCTCGAGCACGGCCCGTCCCCGGGGAGAGGCCAGTGGGGTTCTCGGGGCTCCTGCCCGTGGGGCACAGCCCCTCCTTCCTCTGCTCAGAGCTCACCGTCACACCCTAATTCCACCTTATCCCCAGACTCCTCCTGGGGGAACGGGGCAAACCTCAGGAATGGGGTGACGCCTATTTTGTGAATTTCCTGCTATTTTTTAAAAGCTTGAAGTTTAACAATTCCACTTTTAGGCCATATCAAAAACACATCCTTGCCCATGTATTCACGTAATGATAATTGGTTAAGTTGTACATTTTGTTTTCTGCAGTTTAATGAACATTTTATGATGAAAAAGTTTTGAAATATGGCCAAAGTGATTAAAATGGTGTATTTCATGTTATGCATATTTTAATGCACATACACAGAGTGACAATAAGATCATCACAGAAAAAAAAGAGCCCCACAGTACAACAGCCCTGTGGCCTTATCAAAGGATCCCTGGGTCGGACACAGGGATGGTTCAACATCCGCAAGTCAATCAACATGATACACCACATCAATAAAATGAGGAACAAAAACCACATGATCATCTCAGTAGATGCGGAGAAAGCATTCGACAAGATCCAACATCCATGTATGATAAAAACTCTCAATAAAATGGGTATAGAAGGAAAGTGCCTCGACATAATAAAGGCCATATATGACAAACCACAGACAACATCATACTCAATGGGGAAAAACTGAAAGCCATCCCTCTGAGAACAGGAACAAGACAAGCGTGTCCACTCTCACCACTCTTATTCAACATAGTACGGGAGGTTTTGGCCAGAGCAATTAGGCAGGAAAAAGAAATAAAAGGAATCCAAATAGGCAATGAAGAAATGAAAGTCTCGCTATTTGCGGACAACATGATCTTATAGATAGAAAACCCTAAAAAATCCATCAGAAAGCTACTAGAAATAATCAACAATTATAGCAAAGTTGCAGGGTACAAAATCAACTTACATAAATCAGTAGCATTTCTATACTCTGATAATGAACTAACAGAAAGAGAACTCAAGAACACAATCCCATTCACAATAGTAACAAAAAGAATTAAATATCTTGGAATAAATTTAACCAAGGAAGTGAAAGATCTATACAATGAAAACTACGAGACTTTCCTGAAAGAAATTGCTGACGACATAAAAAGATGGAAGGACATTCCACACACATGGACTGGAAGAATAAACAGCAGTTAAAATGTCCATACTACCTAAAGCAATCTACAGATTCAATGCAATCCCAATCAGAATCCCAATGACATTCTTCACAGAAACAGAACAAAGAATCCTAAAACCATATGGGGAAACAAAAGACCCCGAATTGCTAAAGCAATCCTGAGATTTTAAAAAGAACAACGCTGGAGGCATCACAATCCATGACTTCAAAACATACTACAAAGCTACAGTAATCAAAACAGCATGGTACTGGTACAAAAACAGACACACAGATCAATGGAACAGAATTGAAAGCCCAGAAATAAAACCACACATCTATAGACAGCTAATCTTCGACAAAGGTGCTGAGGGCCTACAATGGAGAAAAGAAAGTCTCTTCAACAAACAGTGCTGGGAAAACTGGACAGCCACATGGAAAAGAATGAAAATCAACCATTCTTTTACGCCATTCACAAAAATAAACTCAAAATTGATCAAAGACTTAAAGGTAATATCTGAAACCATAAGGCTTCTAGCAGAAAATATAGCCAGTACACTCTTTGGCATCAGTCTTAAAAGGATCTTTTCAGACACCATGTCTTCTCAGACAAGGGAAACAATAGAAAGAATAAACAAATGGGACTTCATCAGACTAAAGAGCTTCTACATGGCAAGGGAAAACAGGATTGAAACAAAAACACAACCCACCAATTGGGAAAAAATATTTTCAAATCACATATCTGACAAAGGGTTAATCTCCATAGTGTATAAAGAACTCTCACAACTCAACAACAAAAAATCAAACAACCCGATCAAAAAATGGGCAGGGGACATGAACAGACATTTCTCCAAAGAGGATATATGGATGATCAATAGGCACATGAAAAAATGCTCACCATTACTGATCATCAGGGAAATGCAAATCAAAACCACACTAAGATATCACCTTACACCCGTTAGAATGGCTAAAATAACCAAGACAAAAAATAACAAATGTTGGTGAGGATGTGGAGAAAAGGGCACCCTCATACACTGCTGGTGGGAATGCAAACTGGTGCAGCCACTGTGGAAAACAGTATGGAGATTTCTCAAAAAACTAAAAATAGAAATACCATATGACCCAGCCATCCCACTACTGGGTATCTATCCAAAGAACTTGAAATCAGCAATTCAAAGAGACCCAGGCACCCCTGTGTTCATTGCAGCATTATTCACAATAGCTAAGACGTGGAAGGAACCTAAGTGCCCAACGACTGATGATTGGATAAAGAAGATATGGTGTATATATACACAATGGAATACTACTCAGCCATAAACAATTGTCCCATTCTCAACAACATGGATGGACCTTAGGGTTTTATGTTAAGCAAACTAAGCCAGATAGAGAAAGACAAACTCTGTATGACTCCACACATATGTGGTAGATAAACAAACACATGGACAAAGAGAACAGATTAGTGGTTACCAGGGGGAAGGGGGACGGGAGGGTGGGCGCAAAGCGTGAAGTGGTGCGCCTATAATATGACTGACAAATAATAATGTACGACTGAAACTTCGCAAGGTTGTAAACTATCATAAGCTCAAAAAAGATTCCTGGGTCAAAACTGCTGCGTCCCAGAAGGCTTCACAAACGCTGTGTCATCTAGCCGCAAGTCAGCTCACCGGCTCACCTTGCAGAGTTCTAGAATGGCAGGATAGGAGCAGGGTGCGGGGTCTCAGTGAGGGTCAGTGCGACCCTCTCTTCTAAATGAGTGTGACGCTTTGCTTCACGTCAGCCCAAGAAGGAGCGTGGGCTACTCCAAGAACACGTCGTTGTCAAGTCGGTCTGAGGCTGCTGAGATTACCTGCCCCGCCACCGACCCCACACCCAAGGGGATCCTGGGGGACACCAGGGGCCAGCGCCACACTCACCATCACAATCTGGGTGCCTGGGCGCAAGGCCATCTCGTCTGCCGCTGAACCCGGGGTGACCCCGTGAATGAAGATGCCCGTGAAGTTCCCACCGATGATGCTGATCTGCTCCAGCAACGTGTCCCCCTGGAAGGCCAGCACCGTGACCTGGCTCAGGATCTTGCGGGCTGGCCTCCGCCGCACTGGGACGTTGCTGCAGGGAGGGAGGCGAGGGAGCTCATGTGCGGCCCAGAGGAGGAGGTCAGGCCAGGCCATCTCCCCATTGGCTACCCTCCAGCCCCAGCATTCTGGAATTCTCCATCCCCTGCCATGACCCCATCCCTGGAAAGGCTGCCACCTCCCAACAGTGAGAGGACGCAGTCCTCGCTCTGCGTTGCCACCTGTTGGCCCTGATCCCCACCTGTCACTCACCTGGCCGAGACGTAGAGGCCCCCAGAGAATGGCTGCAGGCTGCTCTCCGACTCAGGAAGGTCTAGGAGGAATCGGAGGGCTGAGACACAGAGCCGGGCTGGCCCACGAGGTCACCACACTCCCAACAGAGCTCCTGCTCACCCAACAACCTTAGCGCCCCTCCCCCAGCCTCAGGCCCTGCTGCCCTGTCCGCCCTCTTCGCTGGGGCTGAGCTTCCTCTTCCTCTTCCCTTCCTCACTGCTCAGAGCCTCGACTCATCCTCCGCCTCGTCGGAGAGCTGGTGGAGAGCTGCAGCTGCCAGGGTCTGACCCACATTGTGTCCTTTTGTGATATTTCAGTGAGTTGCCAACATTTTACAACACAGGGAATCTAGAATCTGGACTTCTGGTGTCACTTGAGGAATCGAATCTGGTGTAACCTAGGCCTGCCTTTCTGCATGGTGGCCATTGCCGCTGGCCACCTGCTGCCTCCTGCTCGCCCCAGGCCACGCTGCTGCCCAGATGGCCACGGTGGGCCTCTGAGCTGCAGTCCACAGGGTCTCTCCAAGCTCTGGCACTTTAACATGCAGCCTGTGAGGCAGACTGCGCCCCACGCCCAGGTGGCAGCCTCCCTGGAGGTCCAGCGCTGCCCTTCTCACCTCGCAGACCGCCCATAAGAACCAGGAGCCGGTGGAGGGCTCACAGTTGCCTGCTCCAGGCAGCCCGTGCCCAGCTCCCAGGCCAAAATCCATTTGTGCTCGCATTCAAAGACAAATGAAATTAATTAGACACTCCTGATGTATTTGAGGTCAATTCCACTAAAAGCATATGAACCCGGGACATCGTGCAGAACCACCATGGAGGAGAAACAAAGAGCAAGAACCCTCCCCGTTCGTGATCTCACAGCCAGGTGGGCTGTGCCTCAGTGGATCCCCTCAAATGATCACTGTTATACACAAAAACGCCGATGATTTTGCAAGAGATGCAGTTTCTAGTCATGAGACCCACAGAAAGCCCTGGGCCACCCGCCTACATGAGCCAGGGTGCAGAATAGCATGGGGTACATGCACCCCCTGGTGGCTGTGGGGTGAATTCCAGACAGGGTGCTAAGCACCTACTGTGTGCAAGGCCCAAGGCTGGGGGCAGATGTGCAGGGTGGCAAAGGTGAGGAGGCTGTCCAGGAGGGGCCTGTGCCTCAAGAAGGAGAGAGGCCCAGTTACAGCACACACTCGGGGAATCAGCCACAAGAGGAAAGAGAAGGTTGCAGGTGCCAACAACTTGGAGAAGAGATGCTCCCAGCAGGTGCCTCGGCCAGGAGCAATGAGGACTTAAGCCTCTTGCCTTCTGATGTCACTGGGAGGCCTAAGTGTCCATGGGTCCCAGCAAGGAGGGACAGAGAGAGAGAACATGTGTGTATGGAGCTCTCGGAACGTCTGTGCTGAGCTGGACAGGAGAAGAATGCAACTCCCTTAGCCTCTGGGTGAGAAACGGAAAGGGTGCTTGGTGAACAGCATGCATCTAGGCGCTGGCTTGAACTGACAGGCAGCCTGGGTTTTCTCAGAGGCCCAGGGCAGCACAGTGGTCAAGTTCGCTTCTCTCCGCCCGGCCCGTGGAGAGAGGCCAGGGGTCTCCCCTGCCTCCCTAAAGATCCTGTCCTCGCTTCCCCTCTCGGCTCTGCCCGCCCAGCCCAGGGCAAGTGGGTGGCTGCAGAGGCTCGGCATGTGGAGTGCTCACCTGCCCTGTCTACAATCTCATAGTCCAGGTCTGTGTCGCCTGTCTTAGCTCCCAGGCGGCTGCCCTGATCTTCCTCCAGGGTTTCCCGGAAGTCACTGCAAAGCATAAGAAGCAGCTTAGTCTGTACCGCCTGCTCCCGGTCTCCGACGCAGAGCTCCCAGCGTCCACCCGGCCCTTGCTCTAGGCTGGTGTCCCCGGGGAGTGGCCAGGGGGCCCCTGTCACCAGTCCCTCTCTACCTGCAAGACCAGGGGTCTTCCCGGAAGTTGTCTGCAGCCCGCTTGTACAGGGACTGCTGGCTGGGAGGCAGCGGGCTGCTGGAGCGGAAGCTGTCCACCAGCTCACGGCTGGACGTGGCGCTCAGGTCAGACCAGAGCTGGGACTGAGGAGGACAGGGCCGAGGTCGGCACGGGGCTCACACGGGAGCCCCCACGGACCTCCCCTGCTGCCCCACTGTGTCAGGGAAATAATAAGCCATAACCCCTAACTGGCAGGTCAGCAGAGGAGAGAGGGAGGGAAGGCGGAGCACGTAGCCAGGTCACATCAAGTTAGCACCTACTAGGTGCTGGGCACACTATTAGCCACTTTCTGTTTTACGGGACTCTGTTCTCACGATCAGTCTTTACGGTGGGCAGTATTGTCCCACTTTACACACAAAGCAGCTGAGGCCCAAAGAGGCCAAGTTACTGGCCAGCAAGGGTCACGTACTGACAGCTGTACCGTGCAAGTGCTGAGCACGGTGCTGGGGTACCAGTGTGCATGTAGATCTGAATGCAGCCCCTCATCCACGTATTTCTTCAGCACCTCCTGTGTGCCAGGCCCCCTTCTGTCCCGGTCCACCCCCAGCAGTAGAGGAGGCACCGGCCGTACCTCGGCAGAGCTGAGGCAGCTGCAGTCGCCGTTGTCTGGCGGGCAGATGGCAAACATGCGCACCAGCCGCTGCTTCCCCCTCGGACAGGGCTCCCTGGCCCCCGCTTCCTGCTTGGGCTGCCAAAGACGGCCAGACGGGCTGGTTAATTCAGGAATGTTCCTTTGGATGCCCTTGGGCTTTCCACCAAGTCAGCCCACCCCGTCTCCACCCTCCTGGGCGGTTTCTTCTCATCGACCTCCAGGCAAAACAATTTATGTCCCCTCTTCCATGACTGGGACCCCCAGCGCTGTAGGAGCTGACCACCATGGAGATGGAAAGCCACTGGCTTGGTGAATGGCGCTTCATTTCTTTTACAGAATATATGTGGTTTTTTACTGGCTATTCAAATAATATGTACTATATGGATAATATATATATATGCTCCACATAGAATATTGGGGTGAAAACAGACAGATAAGAGAATAAAATAAACTCAACAAAAAAAAAATCAAACAATCCAATCAAAAAATGGGCTGGAGACATGAACAGACATTTCTCCAAAGAAGATACACGGATGGCCAATAGGCACATGAAAAGATGCTCATCATCGCTGATCATCAGGGAAACGCAAATCAAAACTACACTAAGATATCACCTTACACCCGTTAGAATGACAAAAATATCTAAAACTAATAGCAACAAATGTTGGAGAGGTTGTGGAGAAAAAGGAACCCTCATACACTGCTGGTGGGAATGCAAACTGGTGCAGCCACCATGGAAAACAGTATGGAGATTCCTCAAAAAATTAAAAATAGAACTACCATACGATCCAGCCATCCCACTACTGGGTATCTATCCAAAGAGCTTGAAGTCAGCAATTCCAAAAGTCCTATGCACGCCAAGGACTTTTGCAGCATTATTTACAATAGCCAAGACGTGGAAGCAACCTAAGTGCCCATCAACAGATGAATGGATAAAGAAGATGTGGTACATATATACAATGGAATACTACTCAGCTGCAAAACAGAACAAAATCATTCCATTTGCAATAACATGGATGGACCTTGAGGGAATTATGTTAAGTGAAATAAGCCAGTTAGAGAAGGATAATCTCTGTATGACTCCCTTCATATGAGAAATTTAAAAATGTGGACTAAGAGAACAGATTAGTGGATACCAGGGGAAAGGTGGGGTGGGGGGTGGGCACAAAGGGTGAAATGGTGCACCTACAACACGAATGACAAACATTAATGTACAACTGAAATCACAGAAGATTGTAACCTATCATTAACTCAATAAAAAAAAAGAGAATAAAATAAAATTCACCCATTCACCCACACTCAGAAACTGCACAGTTAGCATTTTTCTGTCTGTCCATCAGTCTTTTTTCTGTGCACATATACATTTTTGGGGAACATGGTTGATGCGGGGAGGGGTGAGGGAGGAAGGGCTGGGGTCCCCACCAGGAGGGGAGAGTCTGACTATGCCCAGGTTCCAGGCGTCTCTGAAGAGTTTCACCCGCACACCATGGAGCCTGGAGCTGGAGTTGCCAGTGGACCATAATCAGAGGTTTTGTCATCATTTCAGCTCTTTGGGAACATAGCTCCCTTCAGGCATGTGGTCTGTCACCAGGCTCAGACATTAGACTGTCAAACATCTCACGGAGGCGTCAGCTCAAAGTAAGGCTGCCTGCACGGTTTCACACACTGCTTTCTCCCTCGTCGAACACCACACTCCAGCCCCGCCACCCCGCATCCGCAGCCCCCCACGCTTACCCCTGGCAGCGCCTCGGCCTGCTGCTGGCGGAGCTCCTGGCGCAGTTCGCAGACCTGGTCCGTCAGCTCAAACACCTTCCTGCGGAGCGCGTCCTTCTCCGTCAGGTTCTGAGAAATCTCCATCTGGGCTCCATCTCTCGCCGAGTAGGCCTGGGGACCGAGACACAATGGACGCCCAGAGGATAAAGAGGCCGAGCAGACAGGATGCGAGAGTCCCAGCCAGAGAAAGCAAACCTTTTCTTGTCTGCCTTTATCTTGGATGCATCTGGTGTGCACTAAACACGAGCTCACTCCATGACGCACAAGCTTTCTGTTTGTTGACAATTCATGTAAACATACATGGTTTTAATAACACCCAATATGTGGGGTGAACACAAACATTTGTGCCAGAGACAAAAGGAGGCAGGATGACGCACAGTGAGCATGTGGATGACAGAAATCTCAAGTGGATCAAGGAGAGAGACCCCGAATCCAGAACCAGCTGCCATTGAGGGCGGGGCGACCTGTGTGACTTGGCCAGCCAGCCCTTGTCGCACCCAGAGGAGCAGAGAATCAGCCAGGGCAGGTACCTCCTGTTCTCTCTGAGCCCCTCAGCCCAGCACCCGGGCCAGCCCCCCGCCTCTGCTGGGGTAGGCACCTGGTCCCGCTCCTTCTGCAGCTCCACCACCTGGCTCTGCAGGGCGTTCATCTTCTCCTTGTAGATCTCACAGTCCACCTTAGTTTTCTGGAACTGGAGCAGGGTCTGCTCCTTCTCTTCCCAGTACTGGACAGAGGGGGAAGGTCACATGAAGCTCAGTGGCTCCGAGGCTGGGGCTGAGGATGGGATGGGGTTGGGGAGCCTCAGGGAGAGATAGGGGGCTGGTTCTAGGGTGAAATAAGGTGAATTCATGCTCCTTCTTAAGTGCTAGGTTTCCCGGTGCCTCTGCAGAGTCGCTGTGCGGACTGGATTTGAATTCAGGTGCCGAAAGAGGCAGGAGGGAGGCGTGCGCACTGCTTTGTTTAGTCCAATTCCCAAAGCGCGTACGTGATTTCCCTCCTCCAGCCTCATTCTCCTCCTCCCTGTCCTCCCCGCGCCTTTTGTAGCAACTAAAGAGATCCTCTGCTCTCACCCTGGGGCCCCACATGCCTGAAATCACCCTGTGTTTTAATTGCTTGTCTGTCTGCCTGTTTTCTCACCACCCCACAAACTGGACGTGACCTCTAGTCTGGGAGCGTGAGCTGGTGCTCAATGCAGCTTCAAGGAAGGAATAAGTAAACAGACCAACACATTAGTTAAGCAAAATTGGCTTTCAGCTTTGTGTGGGTTGAAGAAGCTGTCTTCCCCCCCAGTCCCAGTGCAGCCCTGCCCGCGGACGCAGCCTGAAGGCTCACCTGCTTTCGCTGCCTCTCGGCCGCCGCAGCCCGCTCCCTCAGAGAGTGGATGCGGTCCACCAGCTCCTGCTTGCTCTCCAGGGCCTCGTCCAGGTTCTGCTCCAGAATGTCCTTCTCCGCCTGGCGCAAAGAGAGGTGAGCCCAGGGACCCTGCCTGACCTCCGCAGAGGCCTCCCCGGGGAAACATGCTCTCCACTGGTGCCTGGAGGACAGGCAGCAGGGAGCCTCAAGGCAGGGTGTGTAGACAGATTGAGACTGCACACTGGGGACGGAAAAGGCAGAGTCAACAATCAAAACGGGAAACGTATTTCAGTTCTGCTCATATGTGGTCAAGGAGACAGAAAGCAGAGGAAGCTGAAGACACAGGACAGCGATTCCGCCTGTGAGGCTGGTTCAGTCTGCTCTCCAACAACTCCACCTGCAGAGTTTCCGAGAGAGGGAACAACCAGGTCACTCCCTTCTCACGCTCACTTTCAGAAGCAGTTTCTGAACGATGGCGCAGTCCAGGCCATGTGACAGGCAGTGCCAAGGCAGGGGCCTGCTCTGTGCCCGGGGAATGTCTACTGAAGAAATAGTTCCATAAATATATCTATCTATTTTTTTTTGGTGAAGAAGATCGACCCTGACCTAACCTGTTGCCAATCTTCCTCCTTTTGCTTGAGGAAGATTGGCCCTGAGCTAACATCTGTGCCAGTCTTCCTCTATTTTATGTGGGACACCACCACAGCATGGCTTGACGAGTGGTGTTAGGTCCATGCCTGGGATCCAAACCTGTGAACCCCGGGCCACTCAAGTGGAGTGTGCGCACTTAATCCCTACACCACAGGTCTGTCCCCCATAAAGAGATGTTTCTCCACTGAAGGAATCGAAGAGGAGAAGCAAAGCGTTTGCATACTCCAGGGCTAGGGGACCATTAATCCCTCTGCTTCCTGTGACTCCCTGCTCTCCAATGCATGTGCGGGCAGGACGGCAACTTTAGAGCTAATCCTGTCATTTATAATCAGCCCAATCCACTCCAAAACAACGAGGCAGCACAGACAAGCTGGGTGGGACATTCTAATGAGTGTCCAATAGGCGTGAATTCTGCCAAAGTCTGGGGGCGGGGGGAAGAGCAGGAGGGAGGGACGTAAAGAGAAACAGTAGGAGTGAGTCACTAGGTGCCATCTCCTCTGGTCCTTAGCCACACCTCAAGGAACCAGCTGTCAGGAATCCACGGCCTGGAGGCCCCAGGCTGATGTGGCGAAAACTCCCAGCCAGCTCCCAGGGAGGGAACCAGGACCTACCAGGCTGAAAGTCAGTGACCGGAGTTTCTCATTCTCCTCCTTCAGGCGGTTCAGCTCCTCGTCTCCAGGTTCCAGGACGCTGGCCATCTGCAGGGACCGCTCTCGGAAATCCCGCTCACAGGAAGAAGCCACCTTCTCCCGCTGCAGCTCCTGCTTCATCAGGTACAGCTGTCCAGGGAGGAGATGCAGAAGTGGGACGAATTAAGCACTGTTTCCCGACTAGACCAGAAGCCAGGTGAGTTTCTCAACCTTTGTCCTTAATGATGACACTGCTCATACTCAAAGGGGTACCTCTCTGGAGATTTCAAAATCGACTGAAGGGTTTGCCTAATGAACAGGCCCAGCTCCTTGTGGGAGGAGAAAGCTGTGTTAGCTCTACTTTATAGTTGAGGCTGGGGTCCCCGGGAACAGAGCGAGGAGCCCTGGCAACCAGCTCTTGGATCTCTATCGTGAAACTGGTAGTCACAGGCAGCCAGCGATGAACGGCCAGAGTAAGTCTCCTCCAGCACGCTCCCTGGCTGCCCTGCCCTTCCATATTCTGCTAAATGCGTCAGATAAAGGGAATTTGGATTCATGAAAATCTGTAAGTAAAAGGAAAGAGGAGAGTCAGTCAGATGGGGCAGAGACGCCTGGGAACACAGGACCCGGTCTATTCAGACACACTTGTAATCCGTGTGCAAACATGTGCCACCTCCTACCCAGGGGGCTGCATGCGCAGGGCTGTGGTCCTCTGGAAACTACCTGGCCAGGCCCTGCTGGCCTCCATCCTGCTGCATAGGGGCCCAAGGTCTGGATCTGGAGCAGATGGACCTGGCCTCTCTGAGTCCCAGGTGTGGTGCCCCTGGGGAGAGGGGACTTTCCACATAAGACAAACCAGGAAGTCTGGACGTCGGGGTGGAGTCTGGCGCTCACCCCGGGGCTGAGGTCAAGTGGAGAAGGAAGAACCGTCCCGCTGGGATTTTTTCCTTCCCAACATCTAGTCAGCAAACTATCCATAAGCAATTACTGAGTTCCTGCTGTGGGGCACCCAGGTTAGGCCTGTCATGGTCTACGTATTCAAAAAGTAAAATTAAATCATTAAGATCTGGAAGGGGGGGAACTAAAACTGAAAGTAAACTAAAACTAATGAACTAATAATATTTCAAGCAAATACCACAGCCACAATGAAGGGAGAGAGAGAGGGAGAAGGGATGGAGACGTGGGGGCAGCTACAATAACTTACGGCACAGTATTTAACTACAAGCCGTCAGCCCTGGGCAGGGTTGAGTGGGTGGGGGGAATCACAACCCTGAACTCTTCTCAGGAGGTTTGCTTACTATTCAGGTATGGACTGAGCAATTCTGAAACCATTGTAGATGGACCACAGGACTGAGCAAGAGAGTGTGTTGACATTGTTGGGAGCCAGGTTCTCATGGAGGAAGCATACAAGAAGCATACAAGGGGGAAGGCAAGAAAAAACTTTGGGGGATTGACTGGAATTAGAGGTGGGGATGTGAAATCATGATTTCTAAAGCATGTGTATGTATGTGTATGTGCACACCTGCATACATATGTGCATATGCATACATGCATGTGCGTGTACGTGTGTGTATGCACGTGCACGTTTTCTAGCTCTGTCCCCTGAAAGGGCGAAGGAGCAAAGATACCCCAGAAGCCATGAGCACACGTAGCGCCCAGATCTTGGTCTCTAAAAGGAACCAGGGCCCCTCAGAAATGGCTGACCCTGGAGCTGGGGCAGAGTGGGTATGAGATGATCTCGGACCACCGTGCGATGCAGGAAAGGGAGTCGGTGCTTAAAAAGCAAGGAGGCGTGTCGCGGGACGTGGAGCAGGCTGAAGGGGCTCCCGCTGGCAAAATCTGGGACAATCTGAGCACCAAACTCACACAGGACAGTAACATGTTACAGACGGTTGGAAACAGGAACCCAAGCATCTGTGCCAATAACAGATTCGCACGTGGGGAGAAGACAGGCTCCTTCCCACAGTCAGGATGCTGAGGGCCAACCGGCCGACTGCAGGGCGCTCTGGAGGTGGGGCTCAACTCATCATTTCGCAGCCGCCAGAGGGAAGATGTGTTTGGACAAGAATCACCAATGAGGCCAAGTCTGGGGGGAATGTCACCAAGAAACAGGGTGGCTTTGGGTCTCAAAATGCCTCCCCCACCCCCTGCCCCAGATTGCTTATTTGCTGCAGGGAGGAAAAAGAAACAGGGATTATGCAGCGGAGAAATAGGGCAGCACCTGGACCCAATGGGCATTATTGACATCACCAGTGAGGGGAGCTGAACCTCAGCCTCCTGATGGGGTGCCCTGAGCCAGGCTGCATTCCCTGTGCAGGATCCCGCCAAAAATCTGTTATCTTCGTCTACTCACGAGGAACTGAGACAAACCCCAAATGAGGAGCCGTCTATTATAGAAAAGAGAGGGGTCTGTCTTCTTCAAAAATGTCCATGCCGTAAGAGACAAAGAAAGGCTGAGGGAATGTTCTAGATTAGAGGAGGCTAAGGAGACAGGACAACTAAATGTGGCACCTGATCCTGGACTGGATCCTGGACCGGAGGGGAAAGGCTGTAAAGGATGTTGTTTGGGTCAAATGATAAAATTGGAACACGGACGGGAGACTAGATAAAAAGATTGCATCCACATAATTAATGAAGTTGATAACTGTGCTGTGGTTATATGAGAGAATATCCTATTTTTAGGAAATATACATTGAAGTGTCTAGGGGTAAAGGGCCATGATGTATGTAACTCAAGTGGTTCAGAAAAAAAGTGTGTGTATGTGTAGAGAGAAAGAGGGACAGGCAGAGACAGAGACAGTGACATAGAGAAGAGAGGGAGAATGCCAATGATAAAGTAAGGATATGTGGGTGTCCGTTGTACTATTTTTATTTGTATGCTTTTTAAATAAATTTGAAATTATTTCTATATAAAGCTAAAAATTGAAAAGCTAAAAACAAACAACCAATGCCATAAAGGAAAAAAGAAAATGACAAAATAGCAAGGAATGAATATCCTCAATATTTAAACTCCTACAAATCAATAAAAAGATAATTATCCCCAACGGAAAAATGAGTAAAAGTCCTTGTGAGGGTTTGAGGGGCCTCGCTAATAACACTCCTGTTCTCCCGCCTGACTCCAGGACCGGCTGAGAAACACAGACGGGCTGGTAGAAGTCCACCGTCCCCGGGGGGTGAAACTAGGTGGGTCCACTACCATGGAGCCCAGAAGAGCCAGACGTGCCCCCAGACGTGGGCGCGTGGGACTCCCCATGGTGGGCACTTGACAGATCAGCCAGGCCACGGGCAGTGACGGCTGAGCAGACTCGTTGCCACGTAGGCTATGGGAGGGGCTCCGGGGGGTGGGGGGTCAAGGGTCAGCCTCCCGCAGGAGCACCTTAGCTAAGGCTCACAGGGCAGGGACGTGTCACAAGGAGGAGGGGACGGAGGTCCGGAGAGACAGACCAGCGAGGGCAAAGGCGCGGGGGTGGAGAGCAGCAGGTGGGGCTGGGCCTCCCGCCATGGGGCCCCCACTACCTCCTCCTGGAGGCTGCGGCAGCGAGTGGTGGCCAGCTCCTTCTCCTGCAGCGCGTTGCTGTAGTGCAGCGAGAGGTTGAGCATCTCGTCCTTCAGCTTCAGCACCTCGTGGAAGTGGGCGCTGACCTCGCGCTGCATGCGGCCATGGTCGGCCTCCAGCTGGCGCAGGCTCTCGGCACGGGCCTCGGCCTGGCCCAGGCACTCCTGCAGCCGCCGGCATTGCTGCAGCAGCGCCTCCTTCTGCCCCTTCTCCTGGCTCAGCTCCTCCTGCAGGCTGCTGATGGCCCCGGCCAGGCACTCGGTCAGCTTGGACGTCTCCATGAGCCCTGTGGGAGAGGGGCACGGGGGCCCAGGCCTCACCACCACGGCCCTCGCTCCTTGTCCCCCAGGGTCCTTGCATCTTGTGCCCAGCCTCTCAAGCCGGACATCCCACCCTAATCTTTTGTTCTCCTTAAAAGCCTTCAGGCTCAACCAGACTCGATGATTTGGTTAAATAAATAGCATGATTTGAGATTTGGGGACGAGGATTATCCACTCTCAGCTTCCGCCAGGGACCCAGCTTTCAGACCCAGCTCCCTGCCTCAGCAGCCGGGACGGGCTCAATGCCAGCTCATTTTAATGTCATCCTAAGAAAAACGTAACCGGGAATACGAATCTAATAGAACTCCACCCAACATAAACACGGACTGTGCTGCCAAACAGGCAGAGTTTTCTCATGCAGAGTTTTGAGTGATGTCTTGTTCCTTTGAATGCCTAACTCTTTCAACAGGTCCTCCGGGGAAGCCCCAATTACTCAGTCAACAAGAACGGCCTTGTCTCCTTCCCAGCCGCCGTGAACCTTTACTCAGGCAGCTGAGCAAACGCACAGAAGGCTGCAGGCTCCACGCATTTTCCTCTCTGGCAGAGGCCGCTCCGTCCTCTGTCTCCCCACTAGGGCCGACTCCGGGACCAGGCCACCCGCTCCGCCTCGAGCACACACCACCCAGCGAGGTGGAGGCCGTCTCAGGAGGTTTTCCAGGGAAACGACAGGCTTCCCTTTTGCCCGCGCCTCTGTATGCAGGTTCTGGGCCCGAGACGGGCCTCCTCGGTGCTGGATGATTAGGGACATGCCTTTCCTTTACAACCAAGGCCACGGGCTCCTTCTCTGACCCATCCCCTACTACAGTTAGGGGACGGGGGTCTCCTCACCCCCAGGGGCACAGGCACGGGAACCTGGGCCTGGAGGGAGCAGGGAAAACACCTGGAATAGCATGGAGCTAAGGTTGCTGGGAACCAGAGGCTCTGGAGAAGCCCCGCCGGCCCCCCGGTCAAAGACGGAGCTCTCACCACTGAAGCCGCTGAAGTCCACGTTGGGCTGCAGCCCGGTGACCTTGGTGTAGATGTCAGGGTTGTGGAACTTCAGGCTCTCCAGGAAGGCGAGGGCCCCGTTCTTCCCTCGAGTCCTCAGCAAGTCCAGCAAGTGCCCTTGGGAGAGAGAAACTCTTAGCAAACAAGGCGCCGGGGGTGAGGGTGGGGGCGTGGGGGTGGGGGCTGGGCGGCTTCCCTCGACGGGGGCAGGGCAGGGGGGACCAGGAGTTTTCGAGCATCTGGGAATCAGAACCCATCGCTGCTCTTGGAGGCTCCTTTTATTGATGTGATGAGTCAGTCTTGAGACGGCTGAGGCTGATATTTCTTGAGCAACCACTATGACCCAAGTTGGGGATAAAGACTAAGGAAGACGATCTTTGCTCTCAAGGCCTCCCCGGTGTGTTGGTGGATGTGTGCAGACAGGTGTGTAGAAAGTGCGTGGGAAGAAAGAAGCGAATAGCAGCGCCCCAGGGCCAGGGTCCCAGAGAGCTCGGGCTTCCAAGCCCACCCAAATGCCATCGCTCGCAGCCTGCGTTACTAGGTTGGGTTCACGTCTCCTGTATTTGAGGCTCATAAGGCAACATGTGCGAGTAGAGTCCTGTTAAAGCTCCCACTTGCGGCCTGCTTTCTGCAGTCCAGGCTTTGAGATGAGTATCTTACAACCAGGAATGCATTCATCTCTTAATGACCTGATAAGTGGAAGCTGTTAGTGTCCCCATTTTTGAATGAATAAACACAGCTAGTCAGATTGTCAGTCAGCTCCAAAAACATCTGGAGTGGGTTGAGTGGTGGCCCCCCCAAAGATATGTCCACCTGGAACCTGTCAATGGGACCTTATTTGGAAAAAGGGTCTTTACAGATGTAATTAAGGTAAAGATCTCAAAATGAGATCATCCTGGGTTGTCCAGACGGGCCCTAAATCCAATGACAAGTGTCCTTATAAGACACAGAAGAGGAGAGACGCAAAGAAGCAGGCCGTGTGATGACAGAGGCCGATTGGAGTGATGCAGCCACAAGCTGAGGAAGGCCTGGGGCGGCCGTCACCTGGCAGAGGGGAGAAATGCTCTCCCCCAGCACCTTCAGTGGGAGCACGGCCCTGCTGACACCGTGATTTCAGACCTTTGACCTCCGAACCTTTCTGCTGTTTGAAGCCCCCTGTTTGTGGTCATCTGTTTGGCAGCCCCAGGAAACTAACACAGTGTCTCCACACCCGGAACCCTGGTCCCCTTGGTGCTGTCCCGTAAAGCTCTGCACTCCCTGCCCTCACGCGGGGCTTCGCGGCACAACCTGCGCTCAGCTGGCTCGGTAGAGAGGGCCCGCCAGAGCCGGGGCGGCCCGGACCTGAGGCGAGTGGCCGTGGGCTGGCCCGGGTCCTCACCGGCTCTCATGGCCGTGTTGGTGAACCTGGGGCTGTGCAGCACCTCCTCCTCGTCCAGCTGGCCCAGCACCTTCGCCTGGCGCAGGTAGGGGGTGAGGCGACTGGGGCAGATGCTGCGCACGATCCTGTAGCGGTGGCTCTCCAGCATCTCCCAGAGCATCTCCTCGTCCAGGGATGTCAGCGTGGAGTCCGTGCGGCACAGTTCCGCCATGACTGGGGGCCTCAGAAGCCTGGATGGAGAAGGTAGTGATGGAGGGCCGGCATCAGCGACATGGCTTCGGGGCCCGGGGAGGCCTTTCCATTCAAACCCCCTTTCCCCACCTTACTGGTAGGGAAGGAAATGACCAGTTCAGAAAGAGCGATGACGCCCACCCTGGCCCTGGTGTTCCGTGACCAGAGGGAGGGGAGTATCCATCCTCATCACTGACATCAAATCAATTCCTCTACTGGGAGCAGAGCAAGAAGAACTGGGTTTCTTTTGGTTTCAGGAGACTGGATTTGCCTTTAGCACACGGGAAGCTGCCCCTGGCTGGGGAACTGATGTACGAAATGGGTCTAGGACATGCATTCTCCACTCAGTGATATGGCCCCCAAGAGGGGAAAAATTGGTTCCTGAGCAAAAATTCTTACTCCTCTATGTATAACGCACAGATGTGCACACACAGATATACAGTACACCTGTGATACTAATGTTTCATGAGAGGACGATTAGGGAAAAGATGTCTGAAAATGCTCCCTAAGGGTGATGATGAAAGAAGGGTGGAGAAACACTGGCCTAGAATCAATGTGAAGGTTTGGACCACCAGTCCTGCAACCCAGCAACCAGAGGTGGTGCCTCAGTCTCCATCTCAGAGGTCGGAGGGCAGTCAGGTGGGAAGCAGGGCCGAGGGAAAGGGTGCTGTACGGAAAGCACTCTGCTTTTGCTTGGTGCGGCCGACATCTGCCATTTTTCACACGGAGGTAATGCCCCTCTACAAGGGGCTGGCGGACCCTGCCTTCTGGTCAGGAGCCAAAGTGGACAGACATTCCCTCTCTTTGCTCCCGCACCTGCCCAGGATGCTGAACCCGGGCTGCAGGGGCAAGTGCAGAGGCTCCTAACACACGCATGTCCCACGGCACCATCTGCTCTAACCTAAACCTCAACAGTAACGCCAATAAGCAGGGCTTGCCATGCCAGTTACATCTTTTCCTAAAAAAAAAAAGTTAAAGTAAATAATTAGTTACTAAAATTTTAAAAATTCATCTGAAATAATGGTAACAGAGCTGTACTTTGGAAATGCTGCTCTACATACTTGTTCCTGAAATGTCACTTTTGTTAAAAGCAAGACTGCTGGCCTCTCTAGAGCAGGAACACAAGGACGCGCTGGTGGAGCTGGGACGGAGGGCGATTAGACCGAGGGCACGGTGGCCCCAACAAGACCGAAGGAGAAGGAGTGAGGGAGAAAGAGGCCCATGTCAGACCCCTGGAAGGTCCCACCATGCTTTTTAAATGCCCATAGATTTTCCTGAAATAAAAGTCTTAACGTGAAGGACTTGGTTGCTTACTTGGGAGACGTTCAGGCAGGCGGCTGTCAGAGGCCACCCTGAGCCTCCCGGGAGGACTTCCTCGTGTGAGAGGCATTGCTCCCCTCGGGTTATAATTCTCAACAGGGAAGGTGTATTGGGTTGAGTAGTGTCCCCACAAAATTCGTGTCCACCCAGAATCTCAGATTGTGTCCTCATTTGGAAGTAGCGTCTTTGCCAAGGCAGCTAGTTAAAATGAGGTCATGCTGGATTTGGATGGGCCCTCAATCCAATGACTGGTGACCTTATAAGAAGAGGAGAGGGACACAGGACACACAGAGGGAAGACGGCCAGGTGAAGACGGAGGCAGAGACAGCAGCACGGCGGCTACAAGCCCAGGCGCGGCAGGGACTGCCCGCAAGCAGCGCAGCTGGAAGAGGCGGGAAGGATCCTCCCCCAGACCTGGAGAGCGAGTGTGGCCCTGCTGACGCCTTGATCTCGGACTGCTGGCCTCCTGAGCTGGGGGAGAACACGTTCCTGTTGTTCGAAGGCATCCAGTCTCCGGCGCTTGGTTACGGCAGCCACATACACTCAAACTGAGACACTCGGGAAATGTGTCAGGGGAATGACACTTTGTAACAGCAGGTTATAGAACAAGGCAGCACTAAAACAAAGGACTCTTTAGAGCAGTAGAGGCCACACCCCCTTGGCTGGTGGTGTGTGCCGGTTTAGAAACGGCAGGGTCTCTGGAAGGGCTGAGCCGCAGCGGGCCTGGGCAGACGCCCCAGCTGGGCCACAAGCTCCGGATCTGTTGGGATAAATCATGTGTGTGGACCAGCTCGCCGTCACAGGCCCGGCACAGCAGCTCCCCGGGGGCACCCCGACTGGTCCAGAACCCAAGACCTCCTGTCAGGAGGAGCAGAAATCAGCTGCCCAGCGTCCCACCCACAGAGCACGCCCTGGGCGCCCCAGCTCTGTCCTGAGCCGCCTCCCACAGCTGTGTGCCCCCATCTCTCTCTTCCCTCCAGGCCCCGGCCCATTAATCCAGCTAAAGAATTCCAAAATGTTTTAAAACTGTGGACTGTTTCAAGCATATCAGAAAAGTCCCGCAAATGAGAACAAATATTCATGTTCCCACCAAGCAGATTCCACCGTCATAATGTTTTGCACTTCAGACTCCTTTGCGAGGAAATGCGTCGTTAGAGACAGCTCAGTCCTTCTGCTGTCTTCAGTCCCTCCCCCTCCGTCTGCCCAGACGTGACTGCTACCCACGTCCTGCAAGTACACGTGTCTACAAATAAGCCATGGCACTTTCGCATGATTCTTTGTGCCAACAGTAACTTGACATGGACAATGTCTTTACCGTGAACTCTAACTTTACGTGACAAGCTTCATGCTGGACTTGGCACGACACTCAGCCTCTTCTGAGGTTTCTCATATGGACACACGCCTCCTGGAGAGGTCTGTACACTAAAAATGCTCAAAAATCAGAGCAAATCAACCCTTGTAATCTAAGAAAAGTGGGAAATGATTGTTGGAGGGTCCTATCTCCGTGGGCAGCCCCCCACAATCCACCCGATGGGCCGGGTCCACAGCAAGTAAGCACTCACCGAGGGAAGCTCACATTCGCTTCTGCAGGAGCTCCTCACAGCGGCATGGGATCCCGTGTCCCCTCCGTGGCCAGGTGTCGTGCTGGCTCCCTTCTCGGCAGGCTGCTGGGCGGGATGGTACTGGGCCGGAAGATCCCGCCAACTCAGTGCCAGGATGACCTGTTCACCATGTCAAGCCATGTGACTTGCTGCAAAACTCAAAGTTCGGGCACCAAAGACTAATGCAAGGGGGAAAAAAAGACAAACTCTGATCCAGGAAGTAATTCGACAGATCTTTGATCCCTATGTTTGCTCAGTAACTGCAGAAGCTTCCTTAGGGTTTGGAAACAGGTTTCTAGAAGGAAATTGGGCTTTGAACCCTAGAATACCAAGGACAGTGGGCAGGTGCAATAGTTACCTGATGTGTTGTGGGCCCTTCTTGGACCCTCACCACAGGGCCAGACCCCCTGACACCCTTCCCCTTAGTCTCCTTACCCAAGGAGAGGGAGCTGCTGGATGCAGTGTGGACGGGAAAGGGCTCGGGGGGTCTTCCTGACGAGGAACAGAGAGGACCCAGCCCAAGAGCAGGAGTCCCGTCTCACTGCCCTTTGGCGGCTCCCTCCTGGTTTCTTCGGGGGAACAGTTGATGGAAGCTCAGGAGTCAGGGTTTTATGGATTGAATTGTGTCCCCCCAAAAGATATGTCGAAGCTCTAACCCCCACTACCTGTGAAGGTGACCTTATTTGGAAATAGGGTTACTGCAGATGTAATCAGGGTAAGACGAGGCATTAGGACGGGCATTAAATCCCAAATGCCTGGTGTCCTTATAAGAAGAAGAGAAAAGACCCAGAGATAGACTCTCAGGGAGAAGGTGGTGAGACAAAGGAGGCAGAGACTGGAGTGATGCATGTACAAGCCAAGGAACTCCAGGACTCCTAGCAGCATTGGAAGTTCAGAGAGAGGCCTGGAACAGATTCTCCCGGGGCCTTCCGAGGGAGCGCAGCCCTGCTGATGCCCTGATTTTGGACTTCAGCCTCCAGAACTGTAAGCAAATAAATTTCCATTGTTTGAGGCCACCCAATTCGTGGTGATTTATTACGGCAGCCCTGGGAAGCTAATGCACCAGGGCAAAGGGAATTTGAAAACTGGCCAAGTCCCGGAGGCCCATCCACATCCAAGGATGAGCTGTCAACCCACACACTTGAATGCAAGGCTCTCGAGCTCCACCCGGAAGAAGTCTGTGTCACTGGACCTGCTGAATCAGGATGACGACCTTCCACCCTGCATCAGGACCAGCAGTGTGATCCACGGAGCCCAGTACAAAACAAAAATACGGACCCTTTGTAAAAAATACTCAGGACTTCAAGACAGAGGCAGCAGAGCATTAAACCAAGTGCCGGGCCCCGGGCGCAGGTTGCACATCTATGAAGCTGGCCCCGCTTTGCATGATCAAGGGGTCTCCACGCCCCCACTATCTGATTTATGTCTAAATTCTGAGCTAGACCAAGGGATCCTTTAGGGATGATCATTGCCCTTCTGTGTAGTTCTCTTTTAAGCCTTCCTGGGGGAATAAGCATTCATCCTTAGCACCTAGGGGTGGGTGGGCTGGTTAAGCCTGGAGAGCCCTGGAGGGGGGAGTGGGGAGTGCCAAATGGGACCCACCTTCTCCATGGCTGCCAGGCTGGTGGCCTGCGGGCCAGCACAGGGCTGGAGTCCCCACAGGCTCATGATGTGACAGTGGAGAAATGGCTCAGCCTCCGGGCATCCATGGCAGAGGATTCTCACTGGCCAACTACTCAAGGACCAAGGACAGAGGAGCCACTCCAGAAGCAGCCCTTCTGTGCCGGGTGGGTCCTGCCAGGGGAGGGCGACAGTCTTTGTGTGCCCAGCTGCCAGCCTGTCTGGAAACGTGGTGAGCAGCAAAGGCATCTCCTGTGCCCAGACCCAGTGCTTGGCCATGGGGACCCAACCCAAGGCGGGGGATCTTTGCCCAGGATTTGTCTATGTGGGAACCAGGTCTCCCCCACACCCAGTCATGGAGCTGGAAAGATAAGATCTGGGAGGCTTGCACATGCACATTCATGGCAGCACGATTTGCAATCACCAAAAGGTGGGAACAACCAAAGTGTCCATCGACTGACAGATGGACAAACAAAATGTGGCCCATTCCATACAGTGGAATATTATCCATCCATAAAGAGGAAAAAAGTGTGGCCTGCCTGGTGGCAAAGCAGTTAAGTTTGTGCGTTCAGCTTTGGTGGCCCTGGGTTCACCGGTTCGGATCCTGGGTGCGGACATGGCACCACTTATTGAGCCATGCTGTGGTAGGCGTCCCACATATAAAGTGGAGGAAGATGGGCACGGATGTTAGCTCAGGGCCAGTGTTCCTCAGCAAAAAGAGGAGGATTGGCAGCAGATGTTAGCTCAGAGCTAATCTTCCTCAAAAATAAAAGGAATGAGGCTCTGATCCGTGCTACAATGTTGATGAGCCTTGAAAACATGCTGAGTGAAAGAAGCCAGTCACAAAAGACCACATACTGTGGGATTTCGTCTGTATGAAGCGTCCATAGAGACAGAAAGTAGATTAGTGGTTGCTTAGGGTTGGGAGTAGGGTGGGGCTGGAACGGTGACAGCTAAAGAGTATGGGGTGGTTTCTTTTTAAGTGAAGGAAATGTTCTAAAATTGACCATGGTGATGGTTGCACACATCTGTGAATATACTAAAAACCATTGACTCGCCCACCTCAAATGAGTGAATCACACGGTATATGAGTTATATCTCAATAAAGGGATTTTTTAAAAAGATCGCAGAGCTGCCGGTGACCAGGGCCTGCTCCCCCTGTGGCCCCACTGCCTGCCAGGATGCAGAGGAGGGAGGGTGGCGAGGCATCCTCTCGTGACCTGGCCTGCCCCGCCTCCCTGAGGCCAGCACGGCTGCCCCTGCCCTAGGGGACCCCAGCCTCCTCTGTCCTTTCTCCCTTCTTTTAGCCCAGGCTGGGCCTGCAGGCTCCTGCTTGTCCAGCGCCCCTGCCGAGGGTGTCGTCTGCCCTGGAGGTGCCGAGGGCAGCTGAGTGTGTCTGACTTGGGACGCTGAGTGTCCCTTGCCGAGTTCCTCCTTTCCGGCCCTGCACCTGCTCATTCTAGCATCCATGTCCCCCTCAGCTGACCCCCGAGCCCCCTGGAAAGGTCTCCACGTGTGCAGAGGCGTGGGGTTGCCCCTCGCAGCCTCTTAGGTGATGGCCGCCGCCCACTGCTTCCGGTGCAAAGATTCTGGGTCAGAGTCAGCATGTGAAGTCAGTCTGAACGGTAAAAGTGCTGAGTGAAGCAGCCTCACAGAACCTCTCTCCCCCAGTGCCTCGAAAAGTGAACCAAAACTGTCAAAAATAAAAAAAACTCAGCAGCCTCAAAATAAGGAAAAACGGAAAGGTAAACAACTTCCTGCCACAAACTTAGAAAAATGGGAGAAGAGCCAAGCGATGGATGGAGTGGTACAGAGGTCCCAGGGCCCAGGGCCCCACGCAGCCCCCTGACAGAACTGGGGGGGGGGGGGGGGGGCACCAAGGCTTCTCCCTGCTGCTGCCCATCTCATGAGAAAGAAACCCTGGGGGAACCTGGGGAGGACACAGCAGCACCCCCAAGCTCCCCAAGACACCCACGAGAGAAAGTTCTCCACTCGGGGTGGGGGGGGGACGATCCTGTGCAGATGTGAGGAAGAAAGCCCGGCCCCAGGCAGCGCTCCTGGCTGCATGGTGAGCATCGGGCCATTTAACTTCAGATTAGGACAAACTTTTGTGGGCATTAGCATTCTAGAACCAAATAAGAAGATTCTCTGTCTTGAAAAGTAGAAACAGTGTGAGCGATAGAAATCTGAAGAGCTGGGCAGGGACGTGATGTGGGGGAATGTGGCACCTTGTGTTGGGGCGGGGCTGGGGTGCTGTCTCCAAAGAGGCAGGTCGATTTCATATAACGTCTTTTACTTGTCATTGTTTTCACACTCTCTTAACTACAGTGAGGATTTTTTTTTTTTTTAAAGATTGGCACCTCAGCTAATATCTGTTGACAATCTTTTTTTATTTTTTCCTTCTTCCTCTCCCCAAAGCTCCCCAGGTACATAGTTGCATATTCTGGTTGTGAGTGCCTCTGGGTGTGCTATGTGGGACACTGCCTCAGCGTGGCCTGATGAGCGGTGCCATGTCGGCGCAAAGGATCCGAACCGGAGAAAGCCCCGGCTGCTGGAGAGGAGTGTGCGAACTTAACCACTTGGGCACGGGGTTGGCCCCTACAGTGAGGATCTTTAAGGAAGTAATTGTTCTTGCAGTTGAGAAACATTTATACTGCATTCAACAATTCCATCAGTATTTTAAAAATAATTTTAAATTTAAGTAAAATTAAAATTTTACTTAAAAAAATTTTACTTTTAAATCATGTAGAACACGATCCAATTTTTATGAAATAATCTTAGTGTATCTATCTCTCTAGCAGTCCCTCAGTTTATGTACTTATCCATCTATCTGTCCAATTTGTCCACCTGTCTATTGTTCAGTGTGTGTGTTCACTCGAATTCGTGGGACAGAGAGAAAGACAGAGAGAGACAGAGAGAGATGGAAAGACAGAGACACACAGAGAGGGAAAGACAAAGAGACAGAGGGAGACAGAGAGAGTGGGGGTTCTGGGCTGCTGCTCACTGATGCTAATACTGTTATTTGTGGTAGAATTTTAGGAAATCTGTTGCTTTCTTCCTTTTTTGGTACTGATTAAACTTTTTAGAATGAGCAAGCATGGGTTCGATTAAAACTATAAAGTCATTATTTCAGAAAATAAGACAATTCACTTGATCAAACCAGGAGATGGGCCTCATCCAGACACGTTCGCCATGGATAAGGTGCCCGTCGGCCCCAGATCACCTGGGACACTTCCTGTCCTGACCTGACTATTCACGGTGCCCCCTTCTCTCTCCCGAGGGATGTGCTTTAGGTAGCAAACTGTCATAGGGCAGGAGGCGAGGGTGCACAGAGGCCCCGCCCCTCACACTTCAATGGGGACACTGGCAGAGGCGTCCCCTTTCCTGCTTTCCCCCAGTCCTGTGAGGAAGAGCCAGGGTGGGAACAGACCAGGGAACAGACAGGTGCTGACTGAAGTGGGGAAAGTTCTGGAAAAGCTGGGGGAAGCGGGGAAGAAGACATGGTCGGACCTGTCCTGCATTAGCAGGGAAAAAAAACGTTTCTTACTCCCTGGGTAGGATTTCTTAACCTTCTGCTTAATAAAGGAGAGTAGAGCATCTTTATAAAACCCTTATGTTTCCCCCCAAATTTCTCATACAACTTCTGCTTTAATACACACCGGGCCTGAGCCTAGAGGTTCAAAAGCAGAGGAGAAATATGCCAGCCCTGAACTGTGACCCAAAGGCCTTCCTCAACAGGGGTCAACGGCCCAGGATGAAGTTGGCTCCCATGAGTCAGAGACCCAAAAGCTCAGGCTCACAGAATATTAACTTTGTTTTTATCAAATTACACTCTGGTGCCCTCTCTGGTATTATATTATAAAGTCGCCAGGGGGCCACATTGCCAGCCTGCAGCAGAAATTCTGGGAGTTCCAGACGCTCGGGTCTCTGAGGATGCCCTGGAGACCAGGACTGGCCGGGAAACACGCCCCGGAGGCCTGCAGGTACTTCTGGTGCTTTCCCAGGGCTGGTGCGGGGTGACAGCTGCTCTGGGAGGGTCTTCTAGTCTGACTGCCACCCCTGCCCCCACCTCCTTGGAACACTGCCACCTCCCACAGAAGGTCAGATAGCACTCGACTTTTCTCAGACTCCTGCTCCCATCAACGTGAACTCGGAAAGTCAGGGCCAGCTGACACCACAAGCTGCCTCACCAGGGCAGCTTTGGACAGAGGTCCCTCCGGGACTCTCCAAACCCCAGCCAACTGCCCCCTCTGGCTCCTGGGATCCCCCAAAGCCACACTGGGGTTTGGGTCTAAGTGGGTGTAGCCAAGCATGAGTCAGTCTAGTCCATTCTTTGCACAGGGAAACAGCGTACAATGGCCCCCCTAATGGCAATTTAAAAATGTGGGTGTTTCTTTGCAACTCAGCCCCAATTTTAAGGGTTAGTCCTAACAGTAAAGAGAATTTACCCAGAGATCCCTAAGGATATTTTAAACTATATAAAAGTTTTCTTAATAACTCTACAGCGATTCTCGAGAGAAAGTAAGATAGCAGGAGTCCTGAGCATCTAAGATGTGGGTCCTCCCATCTGACCCCTCCCCATGCCAACCTTCTTCTCTCACCCCAAGGCTCAGGCTCTTCTCTTGCCTGTAAAGTAGGAGAGAAGGAGAGAGTACATGTACACACACTCACACACACGCACGTGCATGCACACACGCGCACACGCATATGCAGGACTCCAGAACAGGAAGGAATGAGTTAGAGAAAGCTTAGGGGAATTGATGATCCATATATATGAGGGGTGAGGCAGATGGTCTCCAAGCACAAAAGGAAGAGGTCCTCCCTGGACCCCTCGGCTAAGATCCCCCCACGGCGCCATTTGAAATGTTTGGCTGTGCCCTTTCCACTGACACCTGGCAGCTGCTCTCACTCCCTTTATATCTGAACTCAGAAACCTCCCTTTCTTCCTGGAGCACCAATGCAGAGAGAAGAGTTCAAAAAGAGACTCCTCTCACCATCCCGGCCCACACTGTCCTAAGGTGGCCCAGCAGCCAGAACGTTCACGTAACTTAATCAAGCGGAGTGGGACAGCTGTGGTCTGTGGTCTCCTTTCTCGTCCGCAAACCAGGCACCACCCCCAGCCTTAAGAGGAGGCAGCCGGCCCCTCACCTTCCCCTGAGGACAGCTCTCGGCCCCATTCCTGGCCTGTCCACCCTCCCCTGTTTACACTGACCTGCTCTCCTGGGGACAGACTCCGCGCTCTTGGCTTCCTCCTCCTTGAGAGGCAATGACTGCCTGTGCCACCGTCGCGGCTGAGCAGCAGCAGGCGAGCCGGTCTGACAGGCACGTCACTCCAGGCCCTGCCCACAGAGGCAGCGCCTGACACGGAGCCTCCGCGTGTCACCGAAGTGCCAACACTTTCCCACGGCAGGGATGCCATGTGCGAAGAGTTGGTGTTGCTTTTTCGAGAGCCGCCGGAGCGGCCGGGCACTGCCCGGGCGGGTGCTCAAGCCATGGAAGGCGGTGATGGAGAGGACGGCGGAAAGCCTCGGAGTGGAGGGAATCCTCTCTCCTTTGGGAACAGTCTCGGAAAAACTCTAGGAAGATTAGGATAAATCCCGGAGCTGTTCTTTGGTTTTCATGATCAGTTATGGGAAGTATTTAAATAACTCCAGTAGATCCATCTAAAACCAACACTTGATCATTACTATTCAGATTTAGAACACGGTCTTGATTCTTCCGTGTTAATGTATATATCCTGCGTCTCGTCACTTCTCCACAGCTGCATTGCTGTGCCCTGATCATCTCCACCTGCACCTCTGCAGTGCTCTCCTGGCTGCCTCCTCCCATGCCCTTCACGGCCAATCCTCAACACAGCACGCAGAGCGATCCTGTTAAAGGGTGAGTCAGGTCATGTCATTCTCTTTGGTCTACAAGTTCCCAAGTCCTCACCATGACCCATACATGAGGCCCCGCTTATCTCATCCTTTCTGACCTCATTTCTCTTCAGCTGCTTCACACACAGGAGCCTCCTTGCTAGCCTCTGAATGCTCCAGGCGCACTCCTGTCCCGGGGCCTTTGCACGTGTGGCTCCCTCTGCCTAGAATGCTTTTTCCTTTACTTTCTTCAGGACTCCAACCAAGGGCAACCTTCCCAGAGAGGCCTTTCCAGGCCATTCTATTTAAAATTGTAGACTTCCCACTCTGGTCCTCCCTCCCTCTCTTCCTGTTTCATTTTTTCCTATTGAACTCATTGCTTCCTGACATGTCATGAATTCCAATTACTTGTTGGTTTCTCGCCTGCCTTCCCACTATGAGCCTGTCACCTCCAGACGACAAGAATTCCTGTCTTTCTTGTTCTCTGCTGTCCCCACCCCTACAACAGAGATGCTCCATGCATACTGGTTGGGTGAATGAATAAACCTTGGTTTGGTGCCTGGTTGCCACTGGTGCAGATACTGGTCAGGAAAGAAGGGAGGGTCATGGCTTCATGGCCCGTCTGAGCAGGAAGGACCTTAAGGATTATCATCCTGACAGACAAGGGTCGTTCCTAAAGTCACAGAGCTAGTTGATGGAGGAACAGCAACCAGAACCCAAATCTCCTCCTCCTGGAGAACGAGAAGGATGGGGCTGCGGCCGCTCGGGGCAGAGCGAGCAAGAATGCAGGCGCGAGGTGGGACGCGGATGCGAGCTCTCGGAGCGGAGTCTCAGCCTGCCACACGGCAGCTGCCCCTCAGGTGGGTTACACGTTGTCACCCTTCCAACTAACACCCAGGACGACGCCAGGACCTCTTCCAAGGCATTCGAAATAGCCGGGCTGGAGACCTGAGCAACCCGGGTCTGAGTGTGGCTCGGCGGCTGGCCTCTCGTCTCTGAGCCACAGCACGGACCCCACACCCACCTCTGGCCCACGCCAGCACGGTTTGGCGGAGAGGGCAGGAAGCAGCTATTTCCACAGGAGCAGGCAAACCCGCCACTCCCCGTTGCTTTGCATATTCGCACACTGCAACTGCCCACCTGGCAGCTCCATGGACGTCTAGGCGTCTCCAGTCTAGCCCAGCTAAATCAGATCTATTTTTAAAAAATCTTTGTTAATTGAAGTGCAATTCACATAACATGAGATTAACCATTTTAAAGTGAACAATTCAGTGGCACTTAGCACATTCACGATGCTGCACAACCATCACCTCTGTCTAGTTCCAAAACGTTTTCATCACCCCCGTGCCCCATAAGTAGCCCCTGCCCCATTCCCTGGCAGCCACTAATCTGCTTTCTGTCCCTACGGATTGGCCTATTCTGGACACTTCACGTAAGTGGAATCGTGCATGTGTGACTTTGTGTGTCCGGTTTCTTTCACATGGCGTCATGGCTGAGCGATATTCTGTCGTGCGGGTAGAACACAGTGCATTTGCCCATGCCTCTGTCAGTGGATGTGTGGGTTGTTCCCACCTTTTGGCTCTAGTGACTATTGCTGCCATGAACATGTGTGCACATGTACTTATCGGATCTGTTGATTTTGCCCCCAAGCCACCACGAGGCTGCTGTCCCCCGGCTTCCCCATCTCATGATAGTGCCACCCAGATGCTCACACCAGAGACCCAGGAGTCAATCTTCGTTCTCCCCAACCCTAACAGCGCCACACATCAGCCCTGTTGATCTCATTTCAAAGTATCTCCTGAGCCCTGCTCTCACCACCTCCACCGCGTCAGCTCTAGCAGCCACCACTGCCTCTCCAGTGGGGCTCCCAGCCAGTCCCCAGCCCCCTGACTCCAACCTCTCGACATCTTGCTGCAGCCATGTCATCTTTACACACTTGATCTTAGCCAAAAAGGTGAGAAGTGATAAGCCAGGTCATCTTTCTAAACTGTTCCTCTCCCCTCAAAGAAAGACCACTCTAAAGTGGCTCCTATGACAGCCATCATGCATTTAAACTCCATTTCATAGTTTGTAAGACTTTTTATAATCTGACCCTGCTCACCTCTACTCCTATTCCCTCCCTTGTCCGCATTCTAGATGCCACAACTACCCTGGCCTTCTGTCTCTGGATCATTCCAATCCCCAGCTCATTTGGGGGTGTTCATACTCCCTGTCCCTTCTTCCTGGAACACTGCTCCCTGGGGTGTTACTGTGGTCACCTCCTCTCACAACTCATGGGGTAACTTCTTCCAGTCACCCTGTAAAACAGCAACCCACTAACCATGCTCTTCCACTTTGCCTCATTTTATTTGCATCGCAGTAATTACAGAACCTATAATTATCTTATTGGTTTATGTATTTTCTGGGCTTGCCCTTCTCTGGAACGCAAGCTGTGTGAGGGCAGTGCTGTCTGACCTGTCCCCACCCAGTCCAGCACCTGGAACAGCACCTGTATCCCAGAGATGCTCCACACACATGCCAAATGCCAGGCGCCAGCAGTGTGGGGTCCAGGGCCCAGCTGGGCGAGTTCAAGGGGCACTTAGCAAGGCGCTCCATCCTGGGGTAGAGTGGGCTGTGTGTAGAAAGAAACAATGTTTGCCATTTAATACCAAGTGATGCGTGGGGCTTCTGGCAAGAAGTTGCTCTCTGGGCACAGCCCCTCGGATCCAGGATGGCAATGCCTGCGGCGATGACCCATGGAGACCCAGCCCAGCCCAGGAGCACTACAGCCAAACTTCCTGCCGCCCGAGGACAAGATGAGCCACCTTGACTGTCTCCACCCTGAGACCAATGTGGGCACACGGAAGGAGGCAGCTCAGCTCCTGAGGTGCAGCCCACAGCCCGTCTTCTCCTCTGCTCTGGGATCAGCTCCAGGGGCTCCTGACCAGCCGTGACCCCATTCTGCATTCCTTCTGCCCTCTTTCCCTAGACATCTAGGCACATGGACTGTGTGCTGGGGCAGCGATGGGAAGAAAACAGACATGTTCCTCCTTGAGGTTAGTCTAATCAGGTGGACAACCCCTGGCTCCAGATCTAACGGGGTGGGAGGTGAGGTGCAGCTGACAGAGGGTGCTGCACCCCAACATAACGGGCGGGTCCACTTTGGCGACCGGGAGCCCTGGGGTGAAGGACCCAGGAGTGAGGAGCAGTATAAATCCACTTTCTAGGGGACTCAGAGCAGGGCCATTTCTACCCCTCGCTGGAGGTCACTTCAACTTTCCAGTCTGGGCCGTGGTTTTACCAGCAGTAAAATTGTTAAGACAAGATATGCGTCTGCGCCCTCTCGTTGGAACTGTAATTGAGGTTTCTGGCAAGAATTGAACATTACTCTGGACGTGTAAGCAGTGGAATTGTGTGCTGACAGCCGAGCAGGGCTGAGTCTTGCTCTGGAAGGAGATGCTTATGCCCAGCTATGCAGAACAAATATTTTAGGACAAGTAACTAAGGCATGTTCTCAATATGACACTAGATGATACTTGCCTTCTGGTCATAAAGCAAAACACATTTCAGATCTCATGGACACTGTAAGACCTTTGGGGAGCCTTGTGTATGTAGGGTGTGTAAAACCAGCCCTGCATTTGAACAGAAAAATCCTCTCTCCCAAGAGGAGCTCTCAGCCTCCTTGCAATTACCCAGAGCCCTCTCTGCTACACAATGGAAACACGGCTCTCCCGTGATCTGGTGTACTGCTTCCAGCTCAGAGCTCCCTCAAGAGTGGATTGACACTCCTTACCGTCCCACGCAGGCCTGCCAGTCACCAAGGTGGACCCCACCCACCGTCATGTTCCCGGGCAGCACTGTCTCCTGCACCTCACTTCCCACATGGTCTGTCCTCAAGGAGGACAAAGGCCACATCTGCTTTGTTCCCCATTGTTTCCCCAGATAGCGTTGTTCACTGAGAGACTGCACCTGCTCCCACACCACACTCCACAGCTCTTGTCATTTTCATGGACTCTGGCTAAAAAGTTAAACACTTACTGGCCCCAAAGGAAGAGGCCTTTAAGATGTGTATTCAGACACAGCAAGAGGGACATTGCCAGGAAAATGGCATAAAGGGTTACAAAACTGTGAAGGTAAAAGACAAGTCTAGGTGGATCATGAATGAGATTAAAAATCTCCGAATAAGTGCAAAAGAGGTAATTATCCTCTTTGCACTCAAAAGAGTGTGATAATTTCTTTCCCTCCTCATTGATAGCAGAATTCATAACGTCAGGAATCTTCAATTCACTCTTTCCCCACACTTCTGGCAAGGTTATTTTACATGCTGTTAATACCTAGAACAGCACTCTCCAAACGGAATATAATATATAATTAAAACGTTTCTATAGCCATATTGAGAAAAGTAAAAAGAAACAGGTGAAATTAATTTAAATAACATTTTATTTAGCTTAGTATATCTA